AAGTATCCAGTAGCAGCATACAAACATACATTAGACCTACATTAAACATACATTAAAATTATTAAATTAAATTAACCTATTTCTATACAAATAGAAAACTATACAAAAAGTAAAAGTATAAATAAAATAGCTTTTATAAAAATATGAAATAGAACTGCGGATAAATGTAAACTATGTGCAATTAAAATTAGGTTGTCGACCAATGAATGAAAGTCACAGCATTTAGCAGAGGTAGTGCAGATGGAGTCAAAAATTACAGTGAATTAAAGAATGTTCAGGAAAACAGTGCAAATGGAGGAGGAAATTGTCCATTGTCTATATTGTCCTCCCTGCCTTGACTAAGAGCTGTTGTACAGTCTGATGGCCAGGGGGACGAAAGAGTTTTTAAGTATGTTGGTGGAGCTGGATTGGGACAGCAGTCTGCCACTGAACACACTCCTCTGCCTGGTGAAGGTGTTGTGCAGAGTGTGGTGGGGGCTGTCCAGTATGGACAGCAGTTTGTCCATACCAATCTAGGACTTTTGTAACCCCTATAAGTTCGTTTTTTCCTAAACAAACTCCCAATACCCACCATGCAAATTTTGAATAAACTATTGGTCCTACATTCCTTGAGGATATCAAAAAAAGAACATGAGCCGCAACCAGATAAACCCCAGACAACAAAGTGCCCGGGTTCCACCCACAGAGGGGGAGTTCTTTGAAGAGGATGAGGAAGACACACATACCACTGCTGAAACTGATGTAGACAAGTACCTCAGATCAGGAGCAACAGGAATAGACAATCAATTTCCAGTAATAAATAAAGAAAATTGGCTATTTCTTAAAGAAAAATGCAGCCCCGTCCAGTGCCACAAAGATTCAGATTATCTCCCCAAAGAGGTTATCAGGTCAAAAGTTGGAAAAGCGGCTCCTCTTGAGGAGCAATCATTGGTTTGAGGGCTAGGAATGTTGTAGCTCACTGGCCAGAGATAAGGGAGCAGTATTTTGTTTACACATTTAAGGTTGAGCACCTTTTGTTTAGCATTGCACATCCACCCGACTGAAAAGCATCTCCAGGTATCTGTATTTAACTTACGAGGTTTCTACCAGTCTACCATTATTAAAGATGAAGTCTCCAGTTGGTGAGTGAAGTTCAGTTGATTTGAATTACTGTTAAGTTTACAAAGGATGAAGAACGTAAGAGAAGAAGAGAAAATGTTTTCTCATGATAAATTATCTCGTTTTCTCAAAAATTGTATGTAAGTATGGTCATTCTCGGCATCCGTACATTAGGCCTATTGTGATAAGAACTTACTGTGAAATGTCTGAGACATTATTTCATTTTATTCTGCCAACACTAAAATATTATAGCTGAATAAAAGAGAGAATAAAAGCAATAATTTAAAAGTAACGCAAAAATGTCTTTCCCTAGTTACTAATTACTTGGGCTGTAATTGGCTAATTACTCTTTTTCAGTAACTGCCCAACAGTATATTAAATAGGCATCCTTTAATGAGAACATTAAAACATACATTGTAACAAAATTTCCTGTTAAATTACAGTAAACTACTGGCAGCTACAGTTGCCAGCTTGAAACTGTTATTCTACAGTGTACCTACTGTGATCTACAACAACAGTTTAGTACTGTAAAAATATTACAGTACTGTGCTGTATGGAAAATAAACATTACAGCTCTTTGGTTGCAATTATACTGTTATTTTACAGTTCCTACAGTATTCTCCATTAACAACTTATTGCTGTAAAACTGTACAATGTGATCTTCACAGTGATATAAACTAATGGTTTAAAAGTTTTACATTTAAAAATGAAAACCCCTGAAATAATAATAATAATAATAATAATAATAATAATAATAATAATAATAATAAATGAAAATAGCTGTCACAGAAATGGTTCAGACAAGAGATGGCCGTACAACATTAGGCATTTATTAAAGCTGAACATTTCCAGTATCTACAAAATCCATAAAAACACCATTACTACTTGGTTGTCAGAATTTTTTCCTGAACTATGACAAGTGATGGCTAACATTACATTCATTAAACTTTGTATTTTCCTCCCCAGGTCAAAATTGACCAGGTCAGGTTTGACTGGTTGCAAAGCATAGAGTACAAATTATCAGCCAATTCAACCTAATTTAACCTAACTGCTAGTTTTTTTCCTTCTTCCTTCCTCCCTTCACCCAAAGACAGCAGTTGGGTTAAAGTCACTGCATCAAATGCATAGCAGCTAAGAAAACTAAGTAAAAGCTAACTAAATTACACACATTCCATTAACAATAACAATTAAACATATCAAACTGGCTCTCAACAATGGTGGGTCCAAAAATGAACCTGGACATCTGAGACAGATGGACTGAACTATGCTGGCTAAATAAAGCCCCACTCAAAGTCCATCACATTTTTTAGTAGAGTGGCCACATGGGGATTCACCGCTGTTGCCTTTTTGTGGACCACCTTCCACTGGCTGGTCTTTCTTCACCTCTCAGGATTAATCCCAATGAGGCGCCTAAAATGTAATAATAGAGAAAGTATATAAGATATTAGGTATGGTAAGTAAAGATCATTTGCATTTAATATGGAACCCTGTAACAGTAACTGAATAAAAAATGAACACCTATGAGTTCCCATGTGCCTGACATGTGCAATGTACTCCTGCAGGTTCTACCACATACTGTATGTTGCAAGTTATCATGTTTTCACTACAGGCCTTCACAGCAAAATAATCTTTAAAATACTTTCTCAAGAAAAAAAAAAAAAACTTGTCAACTCACTTTTAGCTACTGTATATTACATTAGTGCATATTTGAAGCTCCTTTTTAGCTTTTTGCATCAACCTGCATAACAAGCTTCTCCCTATGAACTCCCATAACCCGTTTTACTTGAAAAAGTGAAACAATAAATGGTTAAATAGAACCTTGTAGCCCACCTCAATTAGATCTGACAACAAATCAAATGCCCAAGCCAACTTATGCTAATTGAAGTCATGTGCTTCAACAGAAAGCGAAACTTTAGTCCACATAGTTGCTAAATGAGAGTAACGTATGCCAGCGTACGGCACGTACTTTTGACTCAATCTTTTCGACAAAAAACAGTCAATAAAATGTTAATCCAACACAAAATCACATTAGCATTATGCTGACTTTTGCAAGATTATATTTCCGTTCTTAAGAAAGCCACGGGGACAGGATGATGAGGGTGCGCTGCAGCTGACAGCACGGTGAGGACAGCAGCAGGTGCTCCATCTGTCAGCGGATGAAAACTAGTTCTTCATCTTCTTGTTATTGTGTCCTCAATCTCAAATAACAACGCTGATGTGTAGGCCTATTTTTAATTTCATTTAATTTTTAATTTTGCTCAGATGAACTATTAAACGGACCGAAGATCAAGTCTGATTTAAAGTTAACTGAAAAAGAAAAAAATACTATATTATACCGTAACAATATAGGTAGCTTGCTGTAAAAAATACATAAATACTGCTTTTTACCGTTTTTACAGGAGCTTGCCGTTAATATTTTGTTCCTCAAAGACATCAGAATTTACAGTATTCAACTGTATTAATGGAAAACGGTACACTACTGTGCAAAATATCCAGTATATTTACAGCAATTTGTTACAGTGTAGTCAAATTCAGTTTAGAACTGCAAAGATTAGTCAGTGAATCAATTAGTATGCAACTATTAAATGATTGCGTTAGTCATTTTTTATGATAAATGTCCAAATTTCAGCCCCTCCAATGTGAATACGTTCTGCTTTCTTTAGTCCTCTATGACAGGCCTATAAAGTTTGTATGATTGTTCAAAAATTAAAAATAATAATAGAGAATTGTAGAAATTGTTGTGGAGAATTTGTCAGGAAAACTCATCTTTGAAGCAATAGTCACAGGAAATAATCTGCGTTTGTTTTACAATGTCTTCTTGTTCACTGTTTGGGTTCATTGTACAGTTTATCTACTGTTATTGTTATGCACTGAATACAATATGAACTACCCATAACATAAGTAACTGAGTCAGGGGTCGGTTTACTCAATGACAGAAAGGGCTCCCTGAAGGAACAAGGTTGGGACCCCCTGCTGTAGGGGGTTACATTGGATAATAGTTTAGTTACATAAGGCAGTTGGAACAGGATTGGCCTGAGCCGAGCATGCGCAGAGCGTCGCACCTAGCAACATAATAAACCCTAAGCGTGTTTACGGAATTTAAATTGAACAGAGAGTTTTGAAGGAAAGGAAAGGCTTCCTGCGAAGTAGAGGTGAGTTCGTTTTTCTTCATGTTTCTTCCCGCTGCCAGGCTGTGTGTGTGTGTGTGTGTGTGTGTGTGTGTGTCTGCTCGCTGGGCATTTTCTTTGTGCACTTATTGGAATTAGGAGGGAGAAACGAGGACGGGGCCAGGGCAGCATCTGCCGGAGCGGAGAGCAGGCAGGCATTAAATATGTGTCACCGCGGGTCCTCCACTTCACACAGCCCCACTGTGGACGCCGCCGACGGCCGCTGCCACTGCACCTTGCGAGCTGGACCCAACGCCATTAACACAATTATGTCCTTTTAATCGGGAACAAAATGTTCTAAATTGTAACAGCCTGTCCGAAGATGAAGCTTCCTCACTACACTTTCCCACAGTTCCCCATGAACTTACTGTGTGCCTGCAAGCTGTCATTGAACAAGTGTAGCCATTATCTCCTCAGATAATTAACGTTAGCTGGGATTTGTTGCGCATTCCTTTTATCTGCGTTGTTATGAACTTTATCACACCTCTCACTTGTTGAAACAATGAGTTATTCTAATGATTAGTTGTTTCAATGTTAGAAACTAAATGGAGCAGGCTCGAGCTTTAATTTCCATTTATTTTGAGTTGAGTTGAGTTTGCGTGTCTGAATATGTGTTGGAAATGGAAGTTTTCACTGTCCTGTTTGCTGCTGCTGTTGGGACACAGTTTCCATCAGTGGCAGCGTGGCTACAGAGCACACGCCCCCTCCCCCAGACCGCTCTCTCTCTCACACACACACACACACACACACACCCTCTGTCCCAGCTACCGTGCCTTTGGAACTCAGTGTTCCCTGTTACTTTTTCACGGTTTCAGACAGTCTGTGTCTGTGTTTGTGCTCAGTGTTAGTCCGGTAAAGTCCGCTCTGTGCTCCGCTCTCGTTGGACGGGTTGTGCGCTAATGAGAGAAAAAGTGCGCACTCAGCGTTTGTGCAGCCGCGCTCCTTGCCTCTAGCTGTGTCTTCACTTTTAACGAGCCTCTTTATTCAGGTATTTACAAGAAAGTTTCTGATCGCATGTGATTGTTATCAGCTTTGAACGTCCACACTGTCCATGTGAAGTGAAATAAGGAGCCATACAGTGTATCTACCCACATTCTATGCAGCTCTTGTTATCGGAACATCATGTACCTAAAAGTGTGCTATCTGTGTATTTCTGTCTCTCCCTCTGTGTGTGAGACAAAACGACCCCAGCAGTTGTAGAAATGTAGCACAAGCTTGTTGTTTATGACAACTTTTGAGAGTGCTGGGCGAGGTAAGAGTCAAATGTCTGGTTTATACATGCATGTGTGGTATTCACTGCTCCCTTACCCTGAGGGAGCACTGGGCCTGCTTTCACCAGAGCTATGCATGCATCTGCACACAAACACACAGTCAGCTGCCAGCTTTGTTTTTTCTCTCTCTCACACACACACACACACACACTCTCACAAAAGACAGACGGGACTTTCTGCTTTGTTGGTGATGTTCAGTGACTGTGTGTGCATGTGTGGGTGGGTGGGTGTCAGTGGGAGACATGGTGGGATAAAGGGCCATAATGGATGTGAGACTGTACACATGGCCTGTGTTGGTTTTGTATCTAATAAATTAGACCTTGACTGATAGATCGGTCAATATTGGCCCACACATATCAGTATCATATCGGAATTGGGGTATATGTTATCCGATATGGGCCTATATTAAAAAAATAAAAAAATAAAAATACATATAGAATATATAATGCAGAAAAAAATGCTTGATATATCTTAATGTGTGATTTACAAGCAGCATAGTAAGAGGAAAGAAGGAACTCTCAACAGTGTCAACTAGAGTTGGTTGACAATATAAATGTTCAATTATTTAGCATGTTAAAGAATATTAAGTTAAATATTCTTTAATAAAGATATTTGTTTAAGAAAGCATCCTTCTGAGTACCTTTCACACAGTCATATCAGTGCACAATCTACATAGAACATATCTGTAATCTGTGAATTTTTCCCCTCTACAATCGGTATTGGTCTCAAAATTCCGATACTGTATGGGCTTTAAAATAACTTAGGTCATGGTCAACAAAGTCTGTAAAATGACTTAATTACATTAAAACACCCTGACAGACCTGCAGCTGATTGGATATTTCTGACCTAGATGGTCAAATTCTCAAAGCCATGGGATTAAAACTGTCTAGATGATGATGATGTTGTTTCTGCTCTCAATGCAGTCATAAGCCTGACAATAAATTCCCTGCATAAAACAGCTGCAGAGTGCACTACTCAAAGTCATTAATGACCAAATAGCTCACAGTATGAAAGTAGGAATCTGTGCAGCAGAGCAGACTACCAGTCAGCTGTGTCAGAAACTGCTGAGGGTTGTGTAGTTGTTTTGTTAGAGCTTGGGGTTGTGTCTGAAGAATTAATTAAGTACTGTCAACATTAGAAGCCTCTGTAATTGCGTGGTACGCCCCTTAAATGCTGCTGGCATACATGTATGTGGTTATACATTAATGAAAACATAGCTATGAATATTGTATTCCATTTCTGACAATAGATCCTCCTGAATGTTACACACTGGAGCTTTAAACCAGCTCAGACTGCTGTACTATACTGTGTATACTTTGTAGTGGATAGCCTAACTGTGGACAGGAGTGTTGTGTCTGATTGGTTTACGGATGGATCTGTGGTATTCAAACTCCCTGCCTCAAGGGAATGACACACACACACACACACACACACACACACACACACACACACACACAGGCATGCAAACATAACACAAACTGGACTTCATGCTTGGCTGGTCATGCTCATGACAGTGTGCTGCTGGGAGAAATAGAGGGGTAGGGTACAGTACAGTGGGATAATGTGTTGGCAATGGATGCTGCCTCCAGTTAAACACCACAGCTTGTCACATAGAAAGGGTGCAGACTTTGAGGTTAACATGTACAGTCCCATGATCATCTTTTAAAAGTTAGTAATGTAACATCTGGACTGTGTGAAGTACTATTTTTATAATTAGTACATGGAAGTTCCGTTTGACACTAAGGTGTAGAGTAACAGTGAGCAATGGGTTAACATGAGCGGGTAGGTAAAGATGTAAAAGGAGATCACTCTTGGAATAATATGGATGAGGTTATGCCTCCAGGTTGTTTTGAAGTTGTTGGTATTTATGTGGTGGCATTGATCTCCCCTCTTGGGATCATTTACTTAATTGAAACTGGTCCTGCAGGTAGCTCACACTAATCAGATCCTTATAACTGTGTGTGAGAGAGCTGTGTTATTGTTGTGCAGGCTGGTGTGTGCATATTTCCTGGTCTGAAGTTGTGTGGCTAGAGGTTTGTTTCAGCCTAAATTCAAATCCAATGGAAATTTCCATTTTATACTACTGTCATACACACATGCCGTGCTTGACTCACAATAATGAACACGTGTTCAACACTCTCACACCAGACTGCTGTCACTGTTAAAACACATAATTAACCAGAAGATGATGGATTTTTTATAGCTTTGCATTTTCCCCCTTCCCTCTCTACATTTTGACTCTTCTGTATGTGCATGTTAGCCCTGTGTTACTAGGGCTGGGAATTGTTTGAAATTTGTGATACTAGTGCCAATATGGTATCTGAATTTTTTTTCTGGAAAAAGTGACATAAGTGGTCATAAAATAAATCTTCCTTAATAAAATATAGTTTACTTTAATACACATACCTCCTGACCAACCAGTATGAGCCAGTGGTGCAGTAGGGGTAAAAAAACAAAAAAACTTTTTAAAAAATATTTTTTTATATATATAAATTATTTTTTAACAGATTTGTACTATTAAGCTTGTACGATTGCTAATTCTAGATAGTGTTGAGAATGTAAAATTAGGGCTGTGATGTTGGATTTTAGAGAGAATACAGATCTTACTCTTCTGGTTGCATAACATTTTTTTATGCATATGATGATCTTTATACTATGACACTTTTCCTAAAATGTAATTATTTTTGTAAATCGAAATATGTCGCCTTGCTTGTAGTATTGCAATATATCAAATTGTCACCCCTGTATTGTGATATCATATCCCACACAGCCACTGGAGGCTGTGCAACCAGGTCTTGAACTTTGGTTGCTGCAGTAGTGGGTGTTCTTTAGATTAGTTTTCTTTCTTCAGTCTCCTTATGAGAAGTTGAAGCTCACGTTCTGCAGTTATGTTCAAGTATGCTTGCAATATCGAAGAGTGAAGTTTCTAGCTGAGAGGGCTCCAAGTCTGAACAGGATGACTGAGCAAAACACGGAGTGAAGGTTTGAATGAGACCCTGTGTTCATGCATGTATTTCTGTCAAGCGTGTGTGAGCAGACAGCTGTAGAAGCCTTGTGAATGAGCATGTGTGTCCCTGAAGTGTTAACCGTGTTGGCTTCCTATTACAACCTCCTGTAACTGACATCGGTCGGGCAGTTTTACATTATTCTACACTACCCTGCAGCAATGGATGCAAAGTTTGTTTCGGGGGTGGAAAGTTGGCCAGGCCAGTTCACGTTGTTGATTGTAGCAGCTGTAGGCTAGAACCCTATAGGGGTTTTTGGGAAACCCTGGGGGTTCAGGGAAAACCCTGATCCTAAAGTCACCAGGTAATATGATATATATTATATAATATAATTTAGAGTTATTTATTTTACATTTATTAGGCCACCTTGGAATCCAGATGTCAAATCATCAACAATCAAATCAAACTAATTGTAATTATACACCTATACAGGTTTGATTTTTCTGAAAACATAGCCTCGTAATGCTATGCAGTGCTGCAGGTGACAGTGTCGTTTTGGATATGTAAATCTTCACAGCACATGAACATGCCACAGTCACAGCCATGGCCCCCTCCAGGTTACTATGTGTTATGTATTTAAGGTCTTCAACTACTTAAGCCCTGCTGTTTCATTTTACAAAAACTATTAAATGACTTGTTGGTGCAAGCTGATTGGCAAATGCCAAGTCTTGTTCAGACGATTGTGGCACAGGCTCAAATAGTGATGGGAACTACGGCTCTTTTAAGTGAGCCAGATCATTTGGCTCAGCTCAGCAGCTACGGCTTTTCACATAGTACCACTTCTGACTTTGAGAATTAAAGTCTTATTTGGCAATGTTTTGACCTATCACTGGTATGTGTGCACATATATCACTTAAAGGTCCAGTGTGTAACATTTAGGAGGATCTATTGGCAGAAATGGAATATAATATTCAGAGGTATGTTTTCATTAGAGTATAACCATCTGAAAATAAGAATTGTTCTGTTTTTGTTACCTTAGAATGAGCTGTTTTTATCTACGGTTGGCGTGGGTCGCCTTCCATGGAGCATGTCATGTTTCTTTCTATAGTAGCCAAGAAGGGACAAACATTGGCTCTGGATAGGGGCGTTTATGTGTACATGTGATTTTATTTTTACTTTAACTCTGTTCCAAGAGCGGATCTAGAGGGGGTGTGTGGGATGCCTGGCCACCCCAGTTTGGTGTCAAATGTTTAGACCAAGTGATCAGTTTAAGATTAATAAAAAAGTCATTGACCGGCTCATGAATGACCCTTCTCCAGGCTCAAACTGAATCTAAATCAATCGGAACTGTTCTGCCTGTGTCTGTACTCCAAGAACAATAACAATAAAACAAAATGGTAAGAAGAAACTAAATTTAGCTTCTTATCCTAATTACAGCTTAATAAGGTAGCTCTCACAGTTTATTAGTCTCACAAGAGATCACTGGGGATTACCTGGGATTTGTTGCTGGTGGATTAAATGAGGTTACCATCGTCACGTGGTGGAGATCAAGTCTATCCCACATAGAGACTATGAACTGAACTGCTGGAGACTACTCAGGGCTCCAGACTAACTTTTTGCATTGGTTGCACTGGTGTGCCTAAGGTTTTTTTTTTTTAGGTGCACCAGCACAAAATGTAGGTGCATCCAAATTTTTTAACCTTTAACGCCATAAGGTCACCTTTTTATCGCTCACCATAACTTTCATATAATGTGAATGATTTTTAAACAAGAATAAGGTGTAGAGAAATGCTTGTCTTTATTTGAAGCACAATTATATAAAAAGAAAATAAAGTGTTTAAAGTGCTGAAAATTAAACATTTCAAACCAAAACACTAAGCAAAATAAAAAAAATTGAAATAAAAGTTCGATACGAAACGTTGTTGACCCGCTCACGAATGCACTATTTCCGGCCATATTCTGACCGCACTGCTGACAGTACACGCAGTGCATTGCGTTACGTCCTTTGTTGTTCCTCAGCCAGGGAAATTGTTTCAGCCAGTCCTGTCTGAAGGAATGTATTTTGACCTTTTTAATTTGGGTCTCGGAGCCGGGCTCTATCCCAGACTCGGTTGTCTCCTCCTCTGGTTCCGAGTCTGATGCTGTCGCCGAAGGACCGGGGCTCAGCAATTTTTAAACACACACAATTTAGCGCAGTGAACAGGACCACAGCCAATCAGAGGCAAAGACCCGCCCGAGCTCTGTCTCTTATTGGTTTAGAACACGATATGATCCTACCATGAGTGTGTGAGTTCGGTCACAGGAGAACAGAGAGATGATGCGCTTGCGAAATAAATTTATGTTTTCACCCGGGCAGCGTCAGGTGCACCAGTGCGACCTAGAAAAGGGTTAAGGGCAGGGTTAGGGTTAAATAAATTAAAAATGCACTACTTTGTGTCTGATGTAGCCGCCTCCCTTACCACTCTGTATTCTCGCTCAAAAAAAAAGCAAAGCATCCAGTTGGTTACACATCACAAGTATTGGCTTATCAACACTGAAGGCTGCTGTTCCACAGACGGGCAAAGAGACCTGAGCTGCTCCAGTGGGCGGAGCTGTGTGTTGATGGGAAGGTATTGCAATAAACCTAACAATCTTATGACCCATTTCTATGATGACAAGCATGCCCAGTTTCCCAGTCACACCACTAAAAATACCAAAAGTCACAGCCTACAGGATTTCACTCAATGGAGGCAAAAGCAACAGGTCACTCTTCACTAACCCCATCATTGCACTTCAGAGTAAAACAAAGCACGCAACTGTGTTGTCTAGTTTCTCACTGCAACTCTGCATCAAGATTTAACAGCAGTAACAGTTGCAGTAAAACATTCTATCTGTTGCTTACATGCATACAGCTATGTGGGCACTCGTATGGATCCTGGATCAGCTACGTTCCGTACTAACTGTTACACATAAAAGCTAATCCTCTTTCGGGGACAGCACACACCTTACAGGCCTTCTCAAGTCCACTCGTCGACATAAGTACTGCCATGTTGCACACATTTTGAAGCTGAATCTAAACATGGCATAGAGGAACTGCTTGTTAGGGTACTTATGGTGGTGGTATGTAATGATACATTCACTACATTTTTAGAGCAGCACTGTAGTTTATTTCCTGCTTCCTTTTAAAAGACCTATCCTATCCTGTCCTATCCTTAAAATATCGTGGATCAAAATTGGTATTTTATTCAAAGGTTTTATTCTGTCTGTAATTCCTGCAGGTGATTTGAAAGTGGTTCAGAAAGTGTCATTGTTACTGCTTAAATAATGTTTGAGAGATCATGTTGGGGCAACGACAGTAGTGGGTTTGACTGAGAGTCTGAATGCTGCTCTATCTCACTGCTGTCTGTTGTGTGTTGTGTAGGGATGGAGTTCCCCGTGGATCTCCTGGCTGATGTCAGCCAGGTGGAGCTGGAACAGTCGGCCCACAACTACATAAACAACCTGCTCTACAGCAACCCTGATTTACCTGAACACCTCATCCTCTCGGACTCTACCCAGGTAAAACACAACACACGCTGGACATTTGTGAGAGCTTGATTTAGTGTCTTTAAATACAGTGTTTTGTAAAGACTCCAGGGCCAGGACCCGTATGTATCATGCATGTCAGAATTACTACTACTGTAGGAATCACAGTAGAAGTTCATTTTGGACTCAAAATCCTAGACGGATTACATCATAGAAGAAATGTAGCTACTGTATTGTATTTGTACATGTATGTATACAGTGGAATAAGACACTTGTTAGAAGATAAATCAAAGAACTGGTCTTCTCACCACTAGTGTGGGGAATGGGGGCTCCACCGCCCCCTGCACGCCACACAGACACCTGTACAAATATATCAGCAATTGCAGGAGATGTTAGTTATTGAACCAGTGTTAGAGCAGCTTCTGGGTTTACATGTTTTTTATGGGAGATATATATATATATTTAAGCAATGCAGATGGGTATGTATGTCTGGGCATGTTTTCTAATGCAGGTTTTCTCATTAATTAAACCTTATGTGTGTGTCTATAGAAGTATAAATCCAGCTTTATTCTCTGGCTTCAGTTTTTAGACCAGTAGCAACATCTGAAGCTCCTGAATGCAGATATCATCAGAGTATGATGATATAGATATGAATGGAGTTTCAAAACTAGTAGAGGTTTTTTTCAATATCAGTGTATCATCAAAATCATACATCACACATGACCTTGTGTACTGGACCATCTGTCTGTCCTCAGGTCACCATAAACATCTCTAGTGTGGGCTTCACCCCCCTGTATGGACTGAGTGATAAACATAAGATCCTGGCCCTGTTCTCGCCCAGTGACCCAATGACTGCTGTGGCTCTGTACCTGCTGGACCAGTGGTGGACAGTGGACGACATTCTCAAGACAGCAGACCCTGATCGAGATGGAGCGATGGAGGTACGAGGAAATGTTTTACTAGTTAGGAATTCCACCCTCTCACTATTCATATCGATTCATTCTAATCAGAGAAATCTGTTGCGCGTGATCAAGTTTCCCCACCGACTAGTATGAAAAAGTGGTTTCTTATAGTAATAATTAGTTGTATAGTGCTAGTAATTACCTACTACTAGTAGGTAAGTACCAGTAGGACTTGTATAAAGTTGCATTTTTCAGTCTTGCTTTTAAATGTTTTTTAGGAAAAAATGAGATTGATAACACTGTAACCACTGCAAAACAAAACCGACGTGGAACCCCTACTTATTTTCTCTCATATTCTTTGTAATTACCAGTATGGATGTAAAATAGGTCTTAAATTGCATTCATAATGGTCTTAAAAAGGTCTTTAAAACATCTTAACTCAACTTGTTCAAACCTCCACAAGGAAAGTAAAAGCGTGCGTTCCCCGCTCGTAGTTCATCCCAATCCCATCACACCACAGAGCGTCTCTTCCTGCCTGACTGCTGAGAGCTCTGTCAGACAGAAAATCAGCCCCAGGTTGTACCACTATGTGGTTCAAAAATGGTGAATTCAATGACAGTTGTCTCCGGAGCAGAGAGCATCAGAGCAACCAACATACTGGAGTCGTGCTGCTCTCCATTTGTATTACTCTTCTCCGCTTCCATCACAGTTAGTTTTGTCATCACTTTGAGACACTTTTAAGATAGACTTCTGAACATAACCAAGAATATTCACAACGAGGATAATGGAAATCTATAATGTCTGTTGCTGATTGGGGGAACCTTTGGGGTTGCAGATGGCTTCTTGTTTTAAACTGATCATAAGCAGGAAAATTTTTTGGACAAACCTTGAAAGAAAATGTTGCCACTGTCTTCAGTTTTGTTTCTGATACAAACAAATTGAAACAAATACTATGTGGCAGGCTACTATCATATTAAGAATAAATTATTTTTTGTGAATTTGTTTCTCAGGTGGAGACTCTAGGAGAGAGAGTAGTTTTGTACATCCTTAATCGTATCATCTATAGAGCCAAGGAGATGACCTCTGAGGAGCTTCCCTTCCTCTGCCATGGAGAAAAAGATTGTGCAAAGATCCTCTGGAATAAAGGAGAGGCTGTTGGCTTCTACTCAGTCAAACCCTCAGGTAATTTATGTGATTTTAAATACATTTATCTCTGTAGATCAACCTCAACTGTTATCGTGTTCCTTGGTCTGCAGTTTGCTTTCAGTTGCTATCTATTTAGAGCTGCATCCGTTAGTTAGACTAAATAATTAGTTGTCAACTATTACATTTTTTGAAATTGAAAAAAAAGGATTTTAGAGGAAAAGTGTGCGCTGACATTACAAATGGGTTGTGCTAATTCTGTTGTTTCAACCACTGTGTGCTGTTTGAGACTGAGCTGGTTTGGTCCCTGTGTGAAAAACTATTAGTTCATCCCTTCTTGACAATGTCCGAAGGAGTATGCTTATTTTGTTTTCCTCGTAGGCAGCATCTACAATTCCTCTTCAACCAGAAGCTATCTGCTCCCTGTCATGGACTCCATATTTGTCAGAAAATGTCATCGTGGTAAAGGCTTTGGCTTCCAGATGCTGGAGGACTTTGTGCTCAGTTCCCATGAGGACTGTCTGGGGTTGAGGTACCCCCTCACCAAATCCATGTATAAAGGTAGACGAGTCCACCCTGCAGCTAGTACACCTTATAGATATGTACAGTATCAATCTACTTTTTCACAGTCAGCAGTGTTTGTGCTGTTATTTCATAGAAAAAGAAACAGTACATTACTGTAAGTTCAATGCACTGCTCTTTGTTTCTAGTGTGTCAGAAGTACCTGTGTCAGTACCCGGAACACACAGACCTGCTGTGGGAGGTAGAGAGCATAGGTGGGCCCAGCCAGAGGACCAATATAGCCAGAAAGATCCAGGCCATGGATCTGAGTGGTAAGAAATAACAGAAGCTACATTGTCGAGCAATACTGATAAATCCCCTGGGACAGTGACACCATAAAGATTATTTTCTATCATCTTGAAATTGTCCAATGTCCCATCTAATTATGTTAAAGATCCCCTCCAGACATGCATTATGAATTATACAAATAGTCTGCTTGAAACAATGATGTGTGGCTGATACAAAAAAGTATAATTTACACATTAAAATCTTTAAAAAGTCATCTCCTCCTTCTACCTCATTAAAACTTCAGTGTAAAGTCCATTCTCAGTGGATGTGCACTGGTGGCTTCAAGTTGTAAACTGGACCAGGACTGACTGACCAAAGTGTTTTTTGATGTCACAAACCCTGCTGGTAGGCCCCACCCCTTAAAATCAGGTGTTCAATGAGCACAGAGAAACTTTCCACTTTCAGCAGATGAATGTGAAAACATCCTTCTAGAGTCAAACTCTGCACAGACAGCATTCAAACAGCACACTGTAGGAACACTGATTTCTGGCTGGAGGGGGCTTTAAGAACACACACAAATGATCCTTTAGTGTACTTATCTAAGCATTCAGATACTGCATGTCTTACTCTGTTTCTCAGCAGTATCCAAGAGTCTCGTATTCACGGAGGAATCAGTTGTGATTACTGAGATGACTGAAACGGATGTGGTGATGGAGGCAATTCCCACACAAATAAAAGAAACTGAATCTGTGGAATGCACAGTTGACATTGTGGTACATTATTATAACTTCTTCCATTTGAGAAACATTAATTTGAAAAATAAATCAATTATACAAGTGAAAACAATCCATGTGATTTTCATTTGTAGGAGGAAGTGACAGTACGGAGAGCGACCAAAGGTGAGCATTTCATTTCATTTATATGTACATTGTAAACTTTTTTAATGAAATAATGTACATTGTAACAATTATAACAGTTTCAGAGGCTGAATTGCCTGTTGCAGCCCGGGGAAGGAGTGGTGGTTCAAAAAGAAGGAATGTGGAAGAAAGGATCACAGAGGAAAAGTCTGAAAAAATTATCAGGTGTGCATAAGTAAATCATTTTACTGAAAACTCACATTTTAGGAAAGTAAGAATAGATTATATTACTAATAATAATTTTAGATGCTGAGTATTACCTCTCCATTTAAATTGCCTGAGATAAAACATGGCTCCTGATTCACAGTAAAATGTCAGTAGTCTGCTGTAGGCTGGATGCCATCATGGTCCACTGTGAAACGTCCTGAAGAGAACTGTATCCATTTCACCGTGTCAGGGGTGCAAGTGCATCACCCAGTGCAAAGTGAAAGTACAGACCTGCTATTTTGGTTCAAGTATGTGCAGCAGCACAAAGTGCAAAAGGTCTGCATGGCTGAAAGTGGAATATAGATCAGAGGGTGTGGTGATTAGGGTTGGGTATCGGTTGGGTTTTATCCGATACCGGTGCCTACTCGGTATTTTTTAAACGGTTCCGGTGCTTAAACGGTTCTCGAACCGGTACTTAAAAAAAGAAACCACACACACTTTGTTAAAAAACAATACCCTTTTATCTCCAGGGCCAAATTGAACACAATATTAAGTTAACGACATAGCACACGTTTTTGTTTCCTACTTGTGTGCATGATTTGGGTTGTCACTAAAACACACAAAGAAAGGCTGCTGTATCTCCATATGTCACCACCACACTGGCTGGGCTGGGAGTCTCTTCAATTTGTCTGGCGAGGCCGACACTGGCTGCGGCTGCTGAAGTGCTTGGCCTTGCCTCACATAGGTTATCAAACACGATGCATTGTTCGGCTTTAAATAAACTCCACGTGTCGCCAGATGTTTCATCAAATTCGACGTGTTACCTCCCTTGCATGCAATTGTTTTATGGCATCTGTTGCATGTCGCAGAGTCTGCATCCTTAGACGTGAAATGCACTGACTGACGTCACGCAAGTTGACACCGGAACACCAGGGGGCGGTAAAAAAAAAAAAGTCAGGCACCGACAGGTTCGTTCTTACTCGGTCTGGTTACTACCGTTAACGTCGGAACCGGTGCCCTATTGGTACTGCGTTTCGGTACCCAACCCTAGTGGTGATTAATACATACGAAAAAATAATAGTATGGTGGAGTGGATAATGTTTTGTTCTGTTTTGAAAGGAGAAACAAGCTCTGTATAAAAATGCAATAAAAAATGTTAATTGTCAAAGATGTTAAACAACAGTTCAACATTTGGTAGGACAATTTGCCATTGAACCAAATTCTTAAGTACTGTATTTATAATGCTGTGCTGTACCATTTAAAACATGTTTGGAAACTTTAATGGTTCACAGTCTTGAGAAATGCATAAATTTTGTGTTTTTGAAGTTTTAACTTAAACAGATAGGGTTGGGGGGCATCAAAAGCAGCCTGTGACTTGGAGAACACCTGGTTTGTGTTAGATCTGATGGCAGACAAGATGGTATAATCAGCATAAAAATGGATATTGTGTAAAAGGTCATCGACCTGTCAAATATGACAATGCAATGGTATTTAGAAGGCTGCTTTCAAAAACAAATAACTAACATGTTATATAATTGAACATATACATTGTCAACCGAACCTAGTTGATTGAGTGAGGGAAGCTGCTTCTTCTCTCTTACACTGTGCTGCTTGACACAGTATTATAAATCACAGCACTGGATAAACTTTGCAGTGTCAGCAATATATTACCATAAACATTTTTTCTATTCAATTCAAGTCAGTTTTATTTGTATAGCGCCAATTCATAACAAAAGTTATCCCAGGACACTTTGCAAATAGAGCAGGTCTAGACTGAACTCTGTATAATTATTACAGAGACCCAACAGTTCCCACCATGAGCAAGCACTTGGCAACAGTGGAAAGGAAAAACTTCCTTTTAAGAGGCAGAAACCTCAGGCTATATCTTTATTACATACCAAAAAAAAAGTTTGCATATTGGATTACATATACACTGATACTAAAAAAGTTTAATACTAAAGATAAAGTTTCTCTGAAGCAAATATAAGGCTTCCAAAGTTAGAGTGAAATTCCCTCTTCTTGTTGCTGTTCCTCCTACACAACTCAGTACAGAAGGAGGAAATTATTATTATTTTTGTTACAAAACAAGGACTGTGGTTTGCGTTTCACATCTCTTCCATTGGAGGCGTGTCAGGAAGGAATCTTTTAATGGCCACTATGAACACTAACTGTAAATTAAATAAAATAGCATTGTTGTAGAGATACACATTGAAATGTCAATTCATAACTGCTGAATCATGAAACATACATATTTGTAATTCTCATCAGTAATTTATGTAATACAAGACATCTAGGCAGAATCGAATTTTGAATGATTTGTGCCATTTTCTTATAAGCTTATGAGCTCTTTGTTGTCACACCATCAAATCCTTACACTATATAATGGTTGAAATTAACAATTGATATCCAACATCTTTCAGAATCGAGGATATTGAAGCAGAAACCCCAAGAGATGAGCAACTTGGTGCACAACAGAAGACAGAACTGAACGATGGCTCCGAGTTGGTGCAGACTGAGGTGTGTGTGTATATGTAAATTCTTATTTGTAGCGTTTGTCTATATGACCAGCACAGCAACTTGTTTGTGATTCAATTTTCTATGTTTATTTTTAGGGTATGTTTAGTATTGGAGAAGATGTTGTTGATACTGCACCTAAAGAAGCAGCTACAGCTACTATCTCAGACACACCTGCCACTGTCCTACCATCTCAAGACCTAGAAGAAGATGATGTTACTGCAACACCTACGACTGTGAAGCCACAAGTAGAAGATGATCTGAACACTTCGCATGACTCACAGATAACAGTTGAGAATGTGGCATCAGAAATTGAGGAAGCAGAAGAAGAGCATAAGGAGGAAGACTCTGCAGTGCTGGTAGCACAACACGTAGTAAGTCTATCAACACATGCAACATCAGAGGGTGGTGAGGCTGGAAAAACAGGAAGAGCCGTTGTTAAGGCCATAAAAATTGTACAGAGTGAAACCCCCAGACGGAGATCTCAGCGCCACAGAAAGCTAGAGGAGGAAATTACAGCCCAGGATAGAGGGAGAGTTTTGAGAGCAAGGACTGTTATGAGCACTGCCACGCCCAAACGCAATTCTACACGACACAGCCATAAAGTGAATGAAGAATCAGAGAAAGAGGTTGATGTGGCAGAGGAGAATAATGTTTCTTCAACTGAAGTATTGGAGGAATTAACCGTAACTGGGGGGAAAGAACTAGAAGAAATTGCTTCCATAAAAGAGGATGTAACTACTGTGGAAGAATTAAAAGAGGAAGTAAAGCAACAGGTGGAAGATGAAGAGCTGACAAGTGCAGAGGAGACAGAGAAACAAGAGGAGCCTGGGGTGAAAGACACTGTAGTGAAGGGGAGTTCCACAGAGCTGCCAGATACAGCAAAGAATGCTCTTACAGAGGTAAATGTGGATGAAAAAGTAACAGATGAGTCTGAGAAAGAACAAAAGGGTGAGGAGGTAGAAAAATCAGTGGTAGAGGATAAACAACAGGTCTCTGATGATGAGATAGAGGAGCCTCCTGTTGTACAGAAGAGAGCTTCAAGAGGCAGACGTAAAGTTACTCCTAAGTCCACACAACAAAGCGAGGGACATAAGAAACAAGAGGAAGAGCGTACAGATGAAGCTGACCTGGGAGCAGGAAGTGCTGCTAGTGAAGAGAAAGCAGATGAGAAAGCAATGGACAAACAGATGGAGGAGGAGACTGTTGACAAAACAGAAGAAAATAAATCCACTGAGGAATTAACTGTTGTGGAAGAAGGTACAAAGGCAGAGGAACCAGCAGAGGATGTTACACCTTCAACTGAGGTGAAAGTGGAGGAGTGCATGGAAGTCCAGGAAGACAAAGAGACTGAAGGAGGAACAGAGACCGTATCAGTGATGGAGGCAGATAAGGACAAAGAGGAAGATGACATGATACAAGACCCTAACACTGTTGCTACTGCTTCAGAAACAGTAACACCTGATGAAGTAGATGAGACTGCCATATCAGTAGCTGAAGAGCCTCAGGAAAAGGACATTGAAATCCCCAAGCTCCAGAAAGCCACTGTCATCTTAGTGGACCTAAAGACCTGCAGTCATCTAAGTGTGAAGGAGGCAGAAGAAACACCAGCTGATGGAGAGTGTTCTGCTCCAGAAAAGGAGCTGATATCAGCTGAAGAGAAGGACATTTCTAGTTATGTTGCAGAGGAACAAGCACCAGAGCCAAAAATGCTGGTGTTGGAGGAGGAAGATGGGGGGAAACAGGAAAACAATACAGAAGAATCTTTAGATGCAACTGCAGAGGCAGAGACTGTTGAGAAGCAAGAGCTTGAAGAAGATAGTTCTGATAAAGAAAAGAAAGAATCTGCCAATGTGGATGGGGAAATGAGTGAAGCAGAGGAAGCACCATTTGTTGAAGCAAGAGTTCTCAGAAGTGGAAGAAAGTTGGTGAAGGAAACCTATCAGCAATATAATATTGGTGATGTTGTTACTGAAAAGGAGGTGGATGAAGCTGAACCAGGCAATGGTGAGGTAGAAGGAGAGAAAGAAGTTACAGGCAAGGATGCTGTGGCAGTAACAGTTCCAGTGGAGGAGAAACCGTCTGCAGAGAGTCTCTCAAAAATATGTGCAGATACAGAGCCAGACATTCCAGTAGTAGATGACACTGAAGACAATCTTCCACCAGCCGAGGGAGATGACGCAATAAGCTTGGAGGAGGACGAAACACCAGGTGGAACAAAGACACCAAGATGCAAAACAACAAGAAAGCAAGCAGATGAACAAGAAGCAGAATCCAGTGAAGAAGAAGAGACAGCAGTGACAACAAGAACGCTGAGCAGAGGGAGGGAATCTGCCTCTGCCACGCCTAAAGGCAAATCCAGAAGATCCCGTAAACAGGAAGAAGAGCAAAAGGGAGCAGAAGAATCTAAAAAGATCGAGGAAACAGGAGGGGATGAGGGGAAAGCCCCAGAGGAGGATCAAATGGAGGTGGAGGAGGAGGAACCCCTTCCTGTAGAAGTTAAAGAAGCATCTATAGAAGAGAGAGGGGAAAAAAATGAGAGAGAGATAGAAGCTGTTTCTAAAAAAGAAGAAAGTGTAGAGCAGACAATAGATGTGGAAGAAGGGAAAGCTGTGGCAGAGGAAGGACAATATGTAGAGGAAGAGCAGTTAGAAGCCATAGTGGCATCTGCAGAAAAGACTCTCCAGGAAGAGGAAGATGGACCAAAGGAATCAGCTAAAGAAGCAGAGGTAGAAGAAGAAAAAGAAGAAAAGAAGAAGAAGAAGAAGAAGGGCTGCGGTCAGCCAAAGAGCCTCTAACAGAAGTGGATGAGGCCCCAGAGGAAGATAAAACAGAGGTAGAGAAGGAGGAACTTGTTCCTGTAGAAGTGGAAAAAGGAGTATCAGAAGAAGGAACAATGACTGAAGAGGAGGAGAACACAGCTGGAGAGGCAGCTACTGCAGATGACTTAGTTCAAGAAGGAGATATGGACACACCATCAACCAAACCTGCCGCTGACTCAGCTATACGTACACCCAGTGAAGAGGAGCCAACACCTTCAGCAGAGGAGCAACACAGTGAGGAAATTTTACCCAAGCTTCCTGATCTCCAAAGAGTGTCTGTGGTTGTAGTAGACCTGAAAAAAACTAACCATGAAGTCCAGGAAGAAATGGCAACTGTAGAGGAGGGGGTTCCTGGAGAAAAGACTGCTGCTGAGGAAGAAGAGAAGGTGGAAGAAACTACAAAAGCGGAAGAAATAATGGCAGAGGACCAAGTTCCAGGTTCCCTTGTTGGAATAGAAAAAACTGAGTCAGAGAAGGTGGTAGTGGAGGAGGAAGGGTTTGAGGAGAAAGCGGAAGATGCAGTTGCAATACAAGATACAGCTGGTGAGACAGCTAAACAAGATGAGGCTAAAACTGTTGATGCTGATGATGAAGAGGAGGAACTTACAGTTGCCGAAATCAGAGCACTGAGAGGCAAAAAGAAGGCAGTCAAAGCAACACCAACACGCAAATTAGCACGAGGCAGACAGAAAAAGGGTGTGGAAGAAAAGGAGGAAACTACAGAAATAAGGGAAGAGGAACCAGCAGTTGAAGTCAGAGTTCTGAGGAGGGGAAGGAAGTCTATCCCTGTCACACCAAGATGTACAACGAAAAGAACACACAAGCATATCCAGGAAGAGCAGGAGGAAGAAGAAGAGGAAGAGGGAGGAGAGGAATCTACAGCAGTTGAGAGACAGGCAGAGGAACAAGCTGAGGAACAACAGCAGACGATTGATCAGGAAGAGGGGGAGAGAGTTGAAGTAAAGAATGCAACTCAACAGGCAGAAAATATAGAACCAGAGAAAGTGGATCCTGTGTCAGAGGAGGGACAGGCCAGCAGTTCTGAGACAGAGGCTCCAGTTGGTGCTGATGAGGGAAAGACCTTGGATGATGCTGCAGAGGAAGCAGTCACAATGCCAGATACTGTGGAGGGGGAACAGTCAACCTCCATAGCTGAACCGGCACCGTTGACCGCAAAGGATGATGAGGCAGAAGGCGTTTCTGAGGAGGAACCACCAGTTATTGAACCAAGAGTTCTGAGAAGTGGTGAAGAGACAGTTAAAGCCACGGCAAGAAGCAAAACCACAAAAAGAGATCAGCAAGATAAAGAGGCAACTGGAGAGAAAAGCACAGAAGAAGAATCAGCGGTAGGAACAAGAGTTCTGAGGAAGGGAAGGAGGACTGCTCCTGCCACACCTAGACGTAAATCTAAAAGACCCCGCACACAGTGTCAGCCAGAGGAAGAGGGAGAAGAAGAGACTACTCATGCTGAAGAGACTGAAGGAGAGGAAGAAGAGGCAGGGCAGGAATTGCATGAGGAGAAATGTGAGATGGCTGAGGAAGAAGGAAAGAGTGTGGAAATGGGGTTAAAGGAAGACAAAGATGTGGAAAAGGAAGAAGCCGAGTGTGTGGCAGGGAAAGAATCCACTCCAGCTGAAGAGATGCAAGCAGGGGAAGTCAAAGCAGCGCTGGAAAAATCTACAGAAAAAGAGGAAAACAAAGATGAGAAGATTGAGGATGAAGCTGCTGCTGAGAAAGAAGAAAACACAGAGCCAGAAGAAGATAATGAGCAAGAGGAAGAGGCAGCTGGAGAGAGAAGCACAGAAGATGAAGTAGCAGTAGAAACAAGAGTTCTGAGGAAGGGAAGGAGGTCTGCTCCTGCCACACCTAAGCGTAAATCTAAAAGAGCCCGCAGACAGTGTCAGACAGAGGACGATGGAGAAAACAAAGCAACTCTGGCTGAAGACATACAAATAGAGGAATCTAAAACTGATGAGAAAAAAGACAACAGTGATGAGAAAACACAAGAAAAGGATGGGGAGGAACCTGTAGCCAATGAAGAAGACAACACAGAGACAAAAATTGAGATTAAAAAAGTAGAAGCTGTGCTAGAGGAATCACTTCCAGAACAAGAGACAGCTGAAGAGGAACAGCCTGCTGAGACACATGCACATGGACAGGAAGAGACTCCTGTTGTGGAAAGTGCTGAAGAAACACCTAATACAGATGAGGGAAAGGTTACTGATGAGGAAGAAGCATCAGTTGTTGAAACAAGAGTTCTTAGGAGTGGCGGGAAGGCAGTGAAAGCCGCACAGAGATCCAAGACTGCAAAAAAACAACAAGAAGAAACTGAACAAGAAGGGACAGTGGTGGAAAAGAGTGCTGATACAGATACAGAACCGGCAATAGAAACAAGGGTTCTGAAGAAGGGGAGGAGGTCTGCTCCTGCCACACCTAGACGTAAATCTAAAAGAGCACGCACACAATGTCAGCCAGAGGAAGAGGGAGATGGGACTACTCCTGGTGAAGAGACTGAAGGAGAGGAAGAAGAGGCAGGGCATGAACTGCCTGAGGTGAAAGGGGAGAAGGCTGAGGAAGAGGGAATGAGTATGGAAGTGGGGGTAAAGAAAGACAAAGATGTTGAAGAGGACAAAGTTGAAAGTGTGGCAGGGGGAGAATCTGCAGAACAAATAACAGATACCTTGACAGATGAAGCAGCTGTGCTTGAAAAAGAGGACAACAACATGGCAGCTGGGGGTGAGACCGGTACTGACATGGTTGAAGTAGAAGAGATAAAGTCAGCCAAGGAAGAGGGAACCACTGTAACAGAAAAATCTACTGCAGCTGCAGAAATGGGATCTCACACTGCCATTGTTGAAGGAGAGGCACTAGCTGCAGATGAATCTGTGGTGGCAGAGGAACAAGCTCTAGCTGTAACAACAAGAACACTCAGGAGCAAAACAAAAACTTCACTCGCCACATCTTTACAAAGATCCAGGAAACAGAAAGGCCAAGGAGCAGTGGAGCAGGAAGAGCAGGAAGAGGAAACCCCTGAGGATGAGGAAACAGAAGAAGTGCATCAATTTACTGATGATTCTCCTGAAAACGGAGAACAAGAAGAAACTGATGAAACATTACCTACTGGACAAGAGGCAGGGCCTCCAGCTGAAGATAATGCAGAGGACCAGGCTAAGGAAATAGCTGACGACAGATTGGTCGAGTCAGCTGGTGAAGAACCAGAAACAGAAGAAATGGAATCATTGGAGGAAGAGCCATCAGAAAGTAAAGAAGATAAACCTCAGGATTCCTCAGAGGTCGAAAGCAGAAGTCTCAGAGGGAAGCGGAAAACTGTTGCAGACAAAGAAGACATAGCAGAAGAAATCCAACTTCCAAAACGAAGATCTGTACGGAAAAGACCAAGAGTGGATTACAAGGAAAATGATGAAGAGGATGAGGGAGGTGAGACTGAAGCAGCCACTGACAAGGAGGAAGAGAATACAGTGGAATCGGATAAGGACAAAGACGACAAGGAAGCTGAAGGTCCTGCTGATGAACCGGAGCTGGAGGAAAGCAGCAGAGAAGATAACTTACAGAACAATGTGGGAGCTGTTGAGAGTACTGGTGAAAAGGGGGACATCATAAATTTAGTATTGGATATAGATGAAGAGGTAGAGACAGCAGGTATAAGGCCAGAGGACAAGGAAGATGAGGGGAGTATGTCAGAGGAAGAGGAGCCTAAAGTGATTGGAAAGAGGGTTTTAAGAGGAAGGTCAATTCCCTCAATAATAATCACACCCCACTCCAAATCCAGACACCGCAGCCCTAAAGTTAAAAAAGCAGAGGAGTCTTTGTTCGATGAAGAAAAGAGTCCTCAATCATCTCAAAAGAGAAGCCTCCGCAAGAGAAAAAGCACTGAGGTAACACCAACTCGCAAATCTAAGCGTCACAGCAGAGTTTAGGATGTTGTGGATATGAATGGCATTGGCACACAAAAGTAGTGCGTAGTCACAAAACTAGGAAAATGCAGAAACAAACAAACATCCTTTTATATAATGAATGTTTTAATGCATCAAATTTTAATGCATCAGAACATTTCTTCTCCTGATTACAATGAGATTAAGTGATATTCTGTGAGAGCACTGGATGGGGCCCAGCCGGGTGGGGGCACAGAAACAAAAAAAGTCATGGCTCAACTTTTGCTGCAACATACTGCTTAGGCCAACCAAATATATGCAAGCACACATTCCTTATTAGCTTGTCGAGATCGGAAGACTGCACACAAATACATATACAGATTTGAACTTTTGACTTAAAAAGCCATAATAGACCTTTTTCACGGCAGCCATTTTGACATAAAATAGTAGGGTAAACACAGGTGGTACCATTGATACTACCGTAATCAAGGTTCTGTTCCATTCAGGTCAAACAGAGTCAGGGTGCTGCTGGTGGCTTACTGGAAAGGCTTTGCTAGACTAAATGGAACAGAGCCTTAAATATTATTATTAGTAACACCCTTGTGTACCCTACTATTTCATGTATAAATGGCTGCTGTGAAAAAGGTATATAAGTATTTTAATAAGATTTGTGTGGTGAATATTTTTATATTGTAAATATGTTCTTACATTTCAGTAAAAATGTGAATGTCTAGTTTGCATTGTGTAATGTAGTGGCTGAATATAATGTTTCAGTCCCTTTTCATTTGAGATGATTGAGATTTTTATTACTCAGAAACATGCAACAAGATCAAATTAGAAATATTGTGAAATAAATTGGTCTTATTTAAAAAAAAAGTTTAAATGTCAAACTTTATTTTTTACATTAGTAATTTTGGAATGTTTTTTTAGAATTTGTGTACTTTGATAAAAAAACAAAAAAATTACCAAAACATGTTCTTGCTTTGCAATTATCAGCAGAACTCAGGTCTTAATATTTACATGTTCTTTTTTGATACACATATTACATGTATGGATTTTAGCACAGGGACCTGTGGGTGTTAATGTACTTCTTATATGTAATCCCCTCACATGTTACACTTTGTGAACTTGAGCATTATAACCTGTAAAGAGGACAGTTTTCTCAAACCATCATGTAGCCAACGTCCTCAATCATGTTAATGTTTTTAATGATGTATTATTTAGTTGACATCATGCATTCACATCAAATGTCTAAGTGTTTATTTTGTTTTATCATTTGGAAACCAACGTTTATTTAGCAGTGTTTTTCGCAAATTGTTTGTGCTTTATAGCAGCAGGCATTTAACAACTTAACTGCATTTATTTTTCTTTTGTGTGGACTAACCTTTCTCTGTAAAGTTATTTTTCCATTAACTGAAATTCCCTTTTTTGTGGAAAATAAAGATTTTTGAAAAAAATATTTCAACTCCTGTTTAATTGCTTATTGGGTGGGGGGGAGGCAAAACAGTAACCAAACCAAACAGGAATAAAGGAAGAATTCCACATGGTTCCCAACCTGGGGGACCCCCACTATGGATCGCCAAAGCTTTATGGGGGCTCGCAAGGCTTTCTTGATTTTGAGGTGTGCTAGAAAACTTTAAAAATATACACCATAGGCCTGTATCTCAGCAATTGGTTCACTTGTTTGATAGAACAATTAACAAAGTGTCAGGGATAAGAAAACACTGTATTTGTCATAGATTCCTTATTAAAGGAATAAACACCTAGAAGAGTAACTTTCATTAAAAGCCAGTGTTCCACTTTCTGTAAGCAAATGTACGACAGGATTGCCTTATGACGATCACTGCTGCTGTAGCACATAACTTAGTAATCAGTCAGTCAATAGATCAACAATAAAATAACTGGGACTTTTATTATCCAACTTGATAGCAGAATGGGATACAGCTATGCTCTGGCTCTAGCACACCTGTCTCAATTCAGACACAATCAGACACATACAGACACACGGAGAGAGCCACTCGGGGAGTGAAAGCAGGTTATGGAGACACGGGATCATGGAATGATGTGATTAGGGTAAGTCAACTTTGCATGACAGTAGTGAAATTGTGTGGCTGTGGCCACAAAATGTCTGAGTGCTGATATGTCAATATTTCAGTAGCCAATGCATGTATAAGTGGAGTTGTGTTGCAGCAAGGTGGTGGACAGACAAAGAGTTAGACAGACGCATGGATGGAAAACGGCATCCTTAGGCCGCTCTCACCAGTAAAGCAAATTTTAAAGCTGCAGTAGGTCCTCCTGGTGCTCCTAATGGCATTGACCAGAACGAAAACAACCAATCAGAGCTGAGAAAGCCAAAAGATTCTTTGGGCTGGTGGCTTGAAGATAGTTGATTGTTGAGGTGGCCTGTCTGCTGTTGAGGCTGCTTATTGGTTCTAGGTCCAGACCAATGATTTTGCTGCTCATTTGATGATCTTGTTTAGGGGGTTGAGATGGATGTTATTTCAAAGCACCAAACCAATCATAGGGCAGAGGACAGAGGACATCTGTGGTCTGGCATAACCTCCTTAGCCTGTTAAACTGGCTCTGGGGCCACCCTTCTGAAGTGGCATCCCCATTTTATATCATCACATGTCAAAGGAAAGGTATTTTTTTTTTTTTGCTAAACTGATTATTAGGAGGATCTCGATTCTCCAAATAGTAGCTTGATGACCATAGATCTTCATCATGTGATATATTAGTATAGAGACTAGCCGCATCTAACGTAAGTAATAATGTTCTCCAGGGCCCAGTATTTCAAAATCGTTCATCAAGATCAGATTTTGTAATCCCTTTTTTTTTCTCTCCTGGAGAAAACTGACCTTGTAGGTTCTGGTCTTTCAAAGAATTTTTTGATAGGATGATTCTGATCCAGAAAGCCCAAGATCAGGATTACAGAAACTAGATTTTAATCTTCAAATAGGCTTCTATCTGTTGGTCAAAGTAATTCAACATGTTGGGAATGTTGGGAAGTGTAAATCAGTTTGCATATTATTCTTACTCATGTATCTGCATTGTTGTTTAAACATGTTTAGTTTTAGTTTAGTTTTTTATTATATTATGGGGGATTTGTCAGAGGCAAGATTTAAGCCGTTCAGAATAGGTGTTACAATGCAAACACACTGACTCACAGTCATGGAGACATCCCAGTCTCAATATGGACCAATGCCTCCTCGTGCTAGTTGTGATGACACATTAGGCCAAACTGACAAAGACTTAAACTAACTAACTTTTCTATGTTTCACTTAGATTTTTTATTTTTATTTTTTATTTTATTTCAGTGAACTTTTTCTATATGTGTGTGTGTGTGTGTGTGTGTGTGTGTGTGTGTGTGTGTGTGTGTGTGTGTGTACATATGTGACTATCTCTATGCAAATGAATGAAGAAATAAATGACACATTGATAAAGACATTGGTTGATGTTGTTGACAAAAATCCCTCAAAATACATAAATGGAGCAAAGCCTGCGAGCTAGTTCAGGCAGTCAACTGGAGCTGCACTGTTATACACATATGACATGCCTCTCTCCATAATCACTAACCAAGCGCACCCTTGTGATGCGCAAATACCTTAACCCCTAGCCGGAGGTCCGAGCCTAGATGCCAAAATCTAAATATGCTATACTGCTTTAATAAACATTTCAAACATGAGTTGTCTGATGAATGGGGGCAAAAACAAAAGTGTTGTGTTTATAATTTTGTTCAGTGTACACACACACACACACACACACACACACACACACACACACGCACACACACACACACACACACACAATAAATACAATATTAATTAAATATCTGTATGACACTGAATAAATCAAAAAACTAATTAAGAATATAAAAAAGGATGGAGATACATTTTACCTATACCTATATGTAAATAAATTAATGAATGCACTAGTTGGTGAGCAGATAGGAGGAGGTCAATTTTGGGGAAGTTGCAGGTGTATATTTACAAGTTTGTATGATAATAATGTTGATAGTAACATGGTCAGTATTGTCAAAAAATAAAATTAAAGGTAACAGACAAAAACACATTCAATAATAATAAAATAAAATAAAACCAAAACAAAAGTGATAATGTGGTGATAATAATAGCAATGCAATATGTATGACTATGATAATAATCCCAATACTGACAATCTGACTACTAACAATGTTCAAGGGTAGTGTGGGTGCAGACACTGAGTGTGCTCAGACTGATAGTGAGGGAGATAATGTGGCATGCTACAGCGGAGCAGGAGGGTGCGTCTGCCCCGGGCCCACAGTTATCTGCCTGACTTCTGCATGTTCACATGCAACTTTGTTGTTTAGTTGAATATTTTGAAGAAAGTTTGTTTGTGTGTCTCGATGGTCTGTGTTTTCTGCAAAGCAGAGATAAGCCCTCACAAGGGGTTCTCGAGACGCTGGCAGACGTCTTTAAAATATACAAAAACATGTATGCATTGGTGGATTACAGAGCAGGAGCAGAAGGAAGAGATAGACACACATGATTAAATCATACACTTCATATCATAGGCAAGCAAACCCCAAACTGTCAAACATGTGCAGCAGGGAATTAATATCAACTTGGAAAGAAATCATGGAAAATATATAATCGTTTAATTAATAACTTAAAAACAACAGGAATAATAGAGAGAATTTAGTTTGCTTTATTTATTTTTATTTTTTCCTGCCAATCTGCTGCTCCACACTCCAGTCCAGCCGGTGGCAGTAATGCACCTACAAGATGACAGGCTTGTCATAGCTGCTGACTGTCTGACGTTTTTCAGAAAGTAGCGTTGTTTGCTGCTGCTTTTGTTGTAGAGCAGTGTCTGCTGGTAATTGTTGTAATTGCAGGACACACATTGCTTGCAGACTTATAGTTTAATTTGTTTTCGTGTTGGGTGATTATATGGCTGTATTATTCAATTCAATTTTATTTGTATAGCTCCAAATCATAACAAAGGTTATCTCAGGACACTTTTCAAATAGAGCTGGTCTAGACCGTACTCCATAATAAAATTATTTACAGAGACCCAACAATTCCCAACATGAGCAAGCACTTGGCGACAGCGGCAAGGAAAAACTTCCTTTCTTCCGTCGTCCTCGACCATTTGGGGTTAGACAGAAAAAGAGGGAGAAAGGGGGTAGAGGGATAGAGGGGTGAAAGGATGGGTGTACATATTGTGTAGGCTATATGGCTGTGTGGCTGTATAGGCATTAAGAATCACTGAAGGTCAAATGCTGAAAGGCATTTTTAGTCATCCCAGTGTATTGCTGCTATGCATAGACTGTGATATTATTCTATATATTTTGGATGGGATATTTTTTCAGGGAATGGATATTAATTAAATCTGCAGTTGAGGAATGAAGATCTATATTTAGTGGTCATGATGTTAAAGCTGCTGTAGGTAACATTTTCATATATATATATATATATATATATATATATATATATTTTAATGTTGGCATCTTTACTGAAACTTTAACTATATCCTGACAGTAGCACACCCTGGGGCGTCAAAAACAGACACTTTGGAATGAGGCTTGGTTGTGTAAGGCCATGTTCATTTCTGTGAAGAAAACAAAAATTGTTATATTTATTATTTAATATTTTTATATTGATTATTTAAACTTAAAAGTTACAGGCAGACCTGGACACAAGCTAAATTCACAGAGCCTTCACTCTCTAAAAAAAACAGCCTCATCCTGCATGAAAGTAAAACAACCAGAGCTAATAGAACAATGGACAGGCATCCAGGAGAAGAAAACACAGAATTAAGAATTTATGATTGTTATTAGATTAGAAAATAGAGAATATAGACAGAGAATTGTATAAATGTTCCCTAAAAATATCAGGAAAACTCATCGCTGATGATACAGAAAAAGATCTACTGAAAATTCATCCAAATGATCAAATCTCTCATTTTACACTTACTGCAGTTATTGTGTTCACTGTTTGGGTTCAGTTGTTCTCTACTGCTGTTGATATTCACTGAATATAATATCAAATATCCATAAAATATGTCACTAGAATAGACTAGAGACTGGTGTAGGCTATATGGCTGTGTGGCTGTATGTGTGATCCAACATCACTGAATGTCCAATCTTCAATGCCTGCTGGTTTAGTCAAGCGTTTTGGTTTTTTATCCTTTATCTGATCATGTCATCAGCATCCATGGCCCTGTCCATGCTGATGAAATAGCACACCTCAATCTAATCCGCATTTGTCTCTGTTCGCCTATAGGTTGTATAAGGGCCCCCTCTGCAATGAGCAATGAGCATTCAGAAGTGCGAAAATTGTGTTGTTGTTGTTGTTGTTGTTGTTGTTGTTGTTGTTGTTTAGATGTTTTTAAACTACTTTCGCCTTTCTTACTGTAAATTTACATTTTGGAAATGCATGACACTATACCACCCTACAAAGCCAGACGTTTTGTCTGCTTTATCTTGTCACAAATTGTCTGAGTCTAGTCTCTATCTGAGAGAAAAAAACAATGTAATTGTCAATTGCAATATAATTATAAATATTAATAACATTAATATCTATTTGCTTCATTTAGAATCATTAATATCTAGTAGCTTCGTAACCCCCTGCTTACACTGCTCTAGAAACTCTTTCTGGTCATGACCAAACCCTCACACTCAAAGCCTCTCTCTGAGCACTGTGTTCTCCACTTTGGCCGCTGGACTACAAAAGTCCCTCATTAGGGAATCAAACTCACAACCTCTCATTTCCTCACCACTCTTCTATTGCTCTGTGCTGATCTGATCTCAGACACTTCATTTGCAATTCTCAGAGCTTTTCACTTTTCTCTTCTGGATGTCTAACTTATTGAGTATAATGAATATATGGTGAATATTTGTATGGTTGTGAATGTTGTCAGATGTTCATTTTGAAGCACACTGGACAAAGTAACCTTAAGTTATAACAACTTCCTGTTTCGTGGCGAAACATACATTATGGATGCTTCCTTTGACAAAAACTCAAGATGTTCATAACTTTTTACTCTAATGGTGTTTAGAGTAGACTGACCAAATTTGTCCATCCAATCAATTCCCTAGGTGAAGTTCATTACAATAGCCAAATATCCAAAATGTCCGACTTCCTATTGGTTTTCAGGAGTGGGTCCTTGAGGCTTTTTTGTCCGTCTGGACAAGATGTATGTATGTATTTAACGCAAACTTACCCGTACATACACATGTATATGTAATAAAGTTAACATTATAACACACACACACACACACACACACACACACACACACACACACACACACACACATATATACATATATAAATACTTTTCCTTGGTATATGGATATAAAATGGATATTGTCATATCACCACCCGCACCCGCCAACATGCTTTAATAGACATGTTAATTTGATTCAGATTCAGAATCAGAAATACTTTATTGATCTTCAGGGTGAAATTTGTTAATTGCCACAAAGTCAGTGCCTGTGCACTTCTGCTTTTTGTCCACATGAGTACCCTTACTTCTTACTGAGTACTGCCAGAGCCATACCCACAACTGAGGTCGCTAGTATTTTTTCCAATACAATAAATATTAGTATACAATAAAAGCTGACATAATTGTCTAAAAATAACTATTGTGAATCTTTGATACATGCTCTAAAGCCCCCCCCCCCCTTGCAAGTACAGTTTTTGTAAACCCTGCGTACAGCAATGCTGGTGAGGTACTCCTAAACAGCTGCGGACTGCAAATGTCAAATATCAGTCACTTGCTAGACTTAAAGAGACTTGACTTGCTTGAGCCTCACCGCACTGACTTGGGACTTGAAAGTTAAGACTTGAAGACACATGTGTGACACCTCTGCAGCACTGTACCCTGTAGGTACCCAGTATTCAGAAAAAACACTGAAAGTATTTCTCTTTTCCTTTTAAAATTACCAATTATGGGCTGTATTAAAAATGTTCCAGAATTTCTTTTTTGCAGAGAATGTTTATTTTCTATTTTAGAAACAGTCACAATAAACCATAATAAAGAGACTGGAACAAATGCTCACTAGCTTTATTGAATGAAGCTGTTTAGATCTTTCTTGGTAATGTGAATGTGGTTTGTCTGATCAAAAACCTGAATAATGAATGGTGACAATTAAAGCCATAAATTAAGATGTACCCATGCTGTGGTAAATAAAGGCTGCCTGTACTCACATACATCTATACTAGCCAATGATACAGTGTGGCAGAAGTTCATTTATTTTTTATCATTAACTATTTTTCTGATCTAATCCTAAGTGTTTTGGGACAGAGAACCTAAGCACTCACAGTTAGTCGTTTAGAAATCATTCATTAGGATGAAAGAGCCAGTTTGAGAGATGAGCAAGCCGCCTGTAAAGACTAAAGGTCAGATACATCTATACAGGGCTAATAACTGTCTCAACCAAGGGTATAGGAGTAATGGAGGATCCCGCCTTTCTTCAGGAAGCAGTCGTGCTTATGGGTTCCCAGCTTGATCTGTCTCTGGCAGACTCCCAGCAGGTCATCGAAGAGGTAGTCACTGTCGTAAACCTCGAGCCTCAGTACGTCATTCTGCTGAGCCTTGAAGTGGGTGAACTCCTCCTTCCACCAGGGGTCAGGGGTGTTGTTTCGAATGGACGTTTTACCCAGAGAGGCTGAGCCGCAGAACACCTTGACATAGCCATCTGCGGTTCCCATGAGGTTGGAGGGAAGATCGCTGGCTCGCAGGTTAAACAGTTTCAACTGGGCTTTAGCCACATTCAGACTGCACAGTACCAACAGGAGGATCGGAAGACTGGAGGCCATAGTGTCACAGGAGGCTGTGGATGACAACAGATTAGTGTTTTAATGTAGGTACATGGATATATGCTGCATTGTGAGAGTCTTATGATGCACTCTTAGCTTTCAGTGCTTGTGAACTAGTTTACTATTTTCCTCCAATCCTGTCTACTTTTGAGACAGTGGACTACAACGTTCAGATGAACTGCCTTCAGAATAAAGTTGGTATTAATAGCATAACAATCGTGGGGTGGTTTGAGTAAATTTTTCAAACAGAACTTTTCCTTTCAATATGGGAATCATTCAAAATTATTATTTTGACTACTATGCAATTGCATAATTGACCCTTCCTAAGTCCCGCCCCTTTTTGCTCTGTGCTCCAATAACAGTTCAGGAACTCAGTCAACCTCCTTCCTGTACTTAGGTATGCTATGTGCTATGTTGAAAAGGCATTTCATTTTAAGAAGACAGAAATAGAAAATAATACTAAATGGAGGGCACATTTATTATTTTAAAAACATAAAATCATTTAAAAAATGGGCTATGCCTTAAACAAGAAACAGAAATGATTTTTTAAGAAATGTTGGTTATCACAATTCATCCCTACAGTGTTAATCTAACGTCAGACAGAAACATAAGACAAGCAATGGCAAATTAAGGTTAAAAAGGGGATAACTTGACATAAAATAAAAATATGAAGCATATTTTATTTAGCAAGTGGGGAGACTTGTGGGAAGAATATAATTAAATTAAAGCATAATAGGGTGATGAAAAATATGGGGATTACAGAATGCAAATTATTTCTTTCTTCTATTCAAGAAATTATGCTACTCTTAAGCTATTTCTTCACTATTTTTACTCATAAAAACATCAGATTTCTTTATGTCTTGTCCTCATAAAACTGTTCCATTGGGGTTCATCATTCTGGACAGCGGAGAGTATCTGGTATACAGATTATTACAAAATTTTACAATTCAATGAATGAAGCTGTGACAGGGCCGACATGCGCGACATGCTATCACAATACAGTAAAAAAAAAAACATGAGCAAATATTCCAGTTTGTGAAACTTACAGTTGCTTGACCAAAGGGGACGAGGAGTGCCTCCTGACAAACATGCAGGGCAGAAATGAGCTGAGAGTATGGCATTAGTTGGAAGAAATTTAAAGGGAACTGAGCAAAATTACAGGTGCAGTCTTACCTGGTGTCCTGATGTCTTGTTTCTCACCACACTGTTTGCTGTTCCATATGTTTTTAAAGGGTAGCAGACCTCATATCAGCCTCATCTCACCCTCCCACAGCACAGCCTGCTACACTCTCAGCATTGCATAATACCACTGAATCTTTGGCTTGTTTTGCCCGTTGGTAACCTTTTCCAATATCTGATGGGCAGGCTTGGGGAGTAATGGATTATATGCGACTGAGTTACGTAATCAGGATACAAACAACGGTAACTGTAATCTCTTACAGTTACAGAAAAAAATACTCAGATTACAGTTGTGTTTGGTAAAAATGGGGATCGCATATAAACATTATTTTCTTTTTCCATTTTCTTTTCAAAAGGTTACATTGTTCTGTTGTCTTAGAATAGAATACACTTTCTATCTTTTTTATTTTCTTTTATTTTCATATTTGGTGTTTAGGTAATTAGATTAGTACAGATAATACTCTTATATATGTACATGTAAATATATGTACTCATAATAATAATAATGATGATACTACTACTACTACTAATAATAATAATAATAATAATAATTTCAAAACCAGAGTAACAAGGTGTTACAAACACAATAAATAACAATAAAAAACAATAAATAACAACAATAAAAACACATTACAGGATAAAGTGCTAACAAAACAGGTGAGTTTTAAGCAGTATTTTGAAGCTATCAACTGATTCTGTGTTATAATGAGGGGAAGGTGGTTTCAGAGGGTGGGAGCCATAACTGTAAAGTTTCAATCACCTTTGGTTTTAAACCTAGATTTTGGGAGTGCCAGAAGGTCTTGGTCAGTATATCTCAGACAACTCAGAGTGGACACAGTAACTCAGACATGTAAGGTGGTGCCAGCCCATGCAGTTCTTTATAGGAGATTTAAAATAATTTTAATATCTATTCGACATTTGATGGGTAACCAATGTAGATTGGCCAGTACTGGAGTGATGTACGACCTAAAACTTGTGTTAGTGAGAAGTTTAGCGACTGCATTGTGTACCAACTGGAGATTAGACAATGAAGAGTGACTCAGAGTGGTAAACAGTGAATTGCAGTAATCAAGATGGGAAGAAACAAAAGCGTGGAGGACTTTTTCCAGATCCTTAAAGGATAATATGCCTTTAATTTTGTGGAAGAAACAAGATTAGGCCACTTTCTTTACAGTCAAAGCACTCCACACGACAGCTGAGCAGATGAAGAGACATAATGATCAATGGCAACAGAAATACTCTTAATAATAATAATAAATGCTTTATTTTTGGATAGGGACAGTGCACATTAATTAACATCAATATTTAAACATCTCTGTAAACATGCCGGATTATAGCAAAGCTGCTAATTTGCATCTGCAGTCCCTAATAAATAAATAAATAAATAAATAGAAAAAAATACAAATAAAAGAGACAGCAAGTAAATAGATAAAATACAAATAGAAGAGACAACATACACCGCACAATACATTACACAATCAGAAGCACTCCAGACCCAGACAGGATATAACAATGCAATAAAAAGTAATGTTCAATTAGTCTCCAGTCCAGTTAGTGGTCGCACTTATGGTTTGATTTGAGCCATTGTTTTAGTTGTCCTTTAAAAGAAGAGTATGTGGAGCATTCTCTTATTGTGGAGGGAAGACGACTCCAAATGTCCAGAAAAAACAGGAAAAAAATGGTACAGGAGGAGTGGCAGGGTTCACCAATCTGTCAACTGTGCAAAACAAGGCTCTGGGATTATTCTTATTGGAATCAATCAGGTTGGAGAAATCAGCAGTTCTTGACTCTTTTGCTTTTTTATTAAAAGATGAGTAATTCCTTCATAGGAATGAAATGAACCCCCAATTTAGTGTTTTTCCATCGGCGCTCAACCTTTCTACACTCTCTTTTAAGACACGTATGTCATTGTTGATCCAGGGGGATGAATTAACAGAACGAGAGGATTTATTTTTACAAACAAAGGTTATTGAATGAGCAGACTAGATCATTGGTCTGGGAAGGGAAAACAAAATCTTTAGTAAGGTCTGCAAAGTCAGCGGTTGGGTGTTATATATGTATTGAGGACAGTATGAAAGGTAATACACTTGTGATCAGACACAAAAAAGTCATCATTGCATAAAGTATTAAGGTTCAGACCTACAGTAAAAAACTAAATCAAGAGTATGACCCTGATTGTGGGTTGGCCCAGACACATGTTGCATTAAGTTAAAAGACTGGGTTGTGCTTAACAGCTCAGCAGCAAATGTATCTGCAAATTCAGTTAAAAAGCCATTGTTAGGGCCAGGTGAACGGTAAAACAACACACAATAAAAAGGATTAGCCAATCCAATTAGCCAGCATATGCGCCTCAAAAGTGTTGACATCACCAATGTTTACTGAGCGGCCTCCTCCTCGACCATACAGCTGATGGATGGACCGGTGAGAGTGATGATGCCAGGGAAGGACAGTAGGGGGAGCTAGCACAATCAGAATCAGAATACGAATCAGAAATACTTTAATAATCCCAGGGGGAAATTACTTTTGTTACATATACTCCAGATGTAATAGACATCTAATATATTAAGAATATATATATATATATATATATATATATATTAAGGTTTAAAATGTAAAGTTTAAAATCAACCTGTGCACAGGTGTGACAGTAAACACAAAAAGTCAGCTTGTGTTTTGATAGCTACATTACATCATCCATACAATAACTGTGTCTACCTAAAACTAATTAACAGCCACCGTACCTTTAACCCAGCCCTGCATTCAGTGCCAGTGTTTTTAAAAGTCTACTTTTCTACTGTTTCTGCAGATGGCAACTACAGTATGGTTGAAGATTGTACAATTAATACAATTATTAATGATAATTGCAGGTCAGTGACTACAGTCCACCACCCCAACGTCAACACTTGTGTTCCGCCTTGCTACATAGGCTACTGTGTACGGCCCCCTACTTCCTGCATTGGCAATGCTGGTGTAGGAATGTAAATCTTGATATGGACAAAGGACACCAGGCAGTTTTTCCTGTTGATGTGTGGGGTTTAATGTATTTTGGAGTTATCGGGGCTGGGTTCGACAATGAAAAAGAAAAAGTCTCAGCAGGGAAGTGTCCAAAAGAGCAAAACATTAGATTTTGCTGCAAGTCTCCAAAATATGTTGAATGTCTACTGGCTTGCCAGAACTTGTATGGGGTCCATAAGGAATTTATGAAACTGAGCTGTGTCGGCCTAAGAAGGTAGTAAACTCTTTTAAAATAGTAAACTGATTTATCTCTTTCACTTTCACAATGTAATGCTAAATGACTGAGCAAACAATAAGTTTGGTTGTTGCAGCACAGTTTATATTTTATTGACAACCTTTGCAAACAGGGTAAAATAGCCAATGAAAAACATTTATTGATTAAGTTAATGAGTTTGAATTCCATTTTTTCTGGTTTAATCCTACAGGATCAATTACAAATTTGGGACAGAGAAGCTCAGCACTCAGAGCTTGGCTAATGACTCTCAGCCGAGGGTGTAGGTATAATGGAGCGTGCCACCTTCCTCCAGGAAGCATTCATACTCATGGGTTCCCAGCTTGATCTGACGCTGGCAGACTCCCAGCAGGTCATCGAAGACGAGGTCACTGTCGTGAACCTCAAGCCTCAGAATGTCATTCTCCTGAGCCTTGACGTAGGCGAACTCCTCTTCCCACCAGGGGTTGGCTTCATTGTGACGGATGGACGTCGCACCCAGAGTGGCTGGGCCACAGAACACCTTCACGTAGCCGTCTGTGGTCCCAAAGATGTCAGAGGGAAGACCTGTGGCCCGCAGGTTAAACAACTTCAGCTGGGACTGAGCCACACTCAGACTGCACAGGGACAGCAGGAGGAGAGGAAGACTGGAGGCCATGGCTTCACAGGACGCTGTGCACAGGGAACAATAAATCTAGATTATAGCTAGCATTCTGAAAGGTTTTCTCACGTCAAGGTTTTAACTATTTAAAGTCCTTGTGTACTCAAAAATGTGTTTCAGTGCTTGTTCCTACATTGTGATGTTTGAACTTCACTGTGCAGAATGTAGGGTTTGGCTGGGTTGGGTTAAAGGTAGCTGTTAATATTACTTTTAGCTTGGCACAGTAATTCCATAGAGCAGGAGTCTCAAACTCATGGTGTGTTATCTCATAGGAGCGTCAGCTCAAGGTTCAAGAAACACACACATACTCTGAAACATATTTCCACATACACATTATACATCACATACAAACAGAAGTTCACTTTACTAATATTTTATACATTTTATTATATACTCTTTTACATATTTTAAAATAATGAGCAGTTGTATGTATAGTTGTATTACACACACACACACACACACACACACACACACACACGCTTTTTTGGGGAACTATTTTCAGCTAGTATTGCTTAATTTTAGTGAGTATTTCAGGATTGGGGCAAAAGTATGAAATTATCACTTTAAATGTACAAATCCATGAGTGCTGAAAACACACAATGACAATTTGCTCTCATGAAAACTTTTAGATGAGATCTGGTGAGTTTGCAGATAACACAGGATTATTGTTGAGACACTATAGCAACTCAAAGTCATTCAACACTAAATACATTTCATAAAATAGAATTTAAATTGTAAAAGGAAGTGTGGATTTATAAACTCTACGAATATGAGTGCTACTGTGAAACATCCATGTGGCACCAGCTGCTTTTACCTAAAAGAAAAAAAGATAAGACAAACCTCTGTGGTGTCATTGACTGACTCAAGTTAGACATTGTGGAGATTTTACATGCTGCTCAATGAAGGCGTGTGTGAACATTTTGCTCCATAAACAGGTGGATTTGTTTGGACTGTTTCTCTGCTCACAGTTCTGCCTGTATACATTCACAATATGCCAGTCATTTGAGACACGTACAGTCTGGGTGGCTGCATAATATTTGATTTAATTCCTTTTCTGTTAGTTTCTGCAAATTTATTTTATTTTACTGTAGCACTTAGAGCTAATTATGTAAATAGAAAATGAACCATATGTAGCAACAATATGGAGTATTACTGGTCTAAATGTGTTAATAAGATTAGCAATATGATATTTATTGGAAATGGCTAAATATATAGTCTGCAGTGTGTTGAATTAAAAAAAGAATTTTTGGACAGGTAGAGGTAAAACTATGATAAATCCTTGGCAAGATGGCTGAAATGAATCACACCTGGAGCCTTGTATCTTTTATATCGGTGTAAATATATTAGGTCATCATTTAATTTACTATTTTATTAAGTCATTTCTTTCAATTTGATCTTTGGATTTGTTTATTAAATTGACTTTATATGTTGCAACTTCAGGTTATGGAGGACAACAGGTGTCACTTAAATGGTTCTTTTCATTAGAACAATTTAAATATCAATGAAATAATTAAATGACCAATAGTATATTGTCTTATATACATATATATACACACACATATATATAAAGGGTCTCAGTCTTGTTTTTAGTGTCCAATTGCATACAGAAGCTTCATTTGTCACTTTAATTTATTGTTTTATTGATTGATTTTAAGACCAAAAGATTTTATAAACCAAAGTGAAGAAACACCACTTAAGGGCTGCAGAAACAGCTTGTGAACACTGCATCCTTTTAACTTGCTGACAAACTTGTAGAAAACCCAGGGACAAACAGATGTGAATTAGCTCTGGTGTAATTATTTGTAACTGCATTGCATTTGGAAAAATAAACAATAAAATAATAAAATAAACCGTTGCTTATATTTACACATCCAGCAGTGCAGGAGCAACATTCATTTGGAAGAAGCCAGTGCTGTAAAGACCCCCTTCACATTGTCACATCATTTTCACTGTCATGTGATTTGTTATTATAAAAATATTATAGCTGCATAAAGCTGGGAAATCATTAAAAGGCAATGTAATAAAAGGGGAGTAGAGGTATCAGTAGCTGCAGTATGCATGACATTAATTATAGAAGAAGCAGTACATAAATATTTATTCAATATAATACAATGTCATAAGATAAATGGGAAGAGTCAGGGCAGCAATGGGCTAAGAACATGGATCAGTCTGAAGAAATGAAGAGTGAAAAAAGATTAGAGTTGAGAGTCTTACCTGTAGTCTTGATATCTTTAGTCTCACCTCGCTATCTGCCGCTGTGCTTTTTAAAGGCCTGCAGAGCTTTTATCAGTTTGATAAAAGCCCTCCCATAAAACGCTTACTGAAGTACAACCTGCTACACTCTCAGCATTATGCAATATGACAGAAATAGTACTATCAAGTTACTTATCAGGTTTTCCATTTAAAACTCCTTTATTTGCATGATTTTCAAAGCAGTTTGTCCAACTTTTACAGAGTAAGAATAACAGTTTAACAGTAACTAATGATCCGGCATACAGGTTGTGCCGAGTACAACAATCATTTTTGCACTTTTTGCACATTTTAAACTGTACATTTGACCTTTTTAAAAAAAAAAAAAAAAAAAAAAATATATATATATATATATATATATATATATATATATATATATATATATTGTATGTATATCTGGAGTTTGTAACAAAAGTAATTTCCCCCTGGGATTATTAAAGTATTTCTGATTCTGAACTTAAAACATCAATAATTCTAAATAAATAATGGAATAAATGACTAACATGAAAGCTGTTGCTGACAGTGATGAGCCCACAGAGAATGATCACATGTCTTTTAACTCATTGTGTTGGTTTTACCACCTACAGCTCTACTGTGCTGGTTCTCCTTGCTCACATCAGCCTCGTTTCCAGCAGCAGCAGCTTTATTGGACAAGTACACATACACATACAAGGAATTAGACAGATTTATCATTGCTCCCAAAAGCTCTGATAAACCCACAGTACACTACCTGCCCAGCAGAAACAGCCGACAGTGACAGTGAGCTGGTGAACATCTGGGTTCTAGTGGCACCCTTCAAAGCTGAAATGTTCATTGCACCCTCTATGGAGAAAATGAAAAACAGAAGGAACAAGAAGAAACCCAGTACAGTCATTATAATCCCAAGAGTTTATCACTCTGGGAGGATAAATTGTGTGCACAGTGGACATTTTGGCCACAGGGGTGAACCAGAGGAAGGTTCAGTAAGTCCAAAATGAAATGGATTTATCTTCCCCCACATAATGGAACGATGGGAGCCGCTTTCTGTCTGAGAGCCTCTTTCTCTCTTTTTTTCTATATAAATTAGGCTAATACTGAGACAGAATAATCACATAAGCCTATAACATATTTAACAGTAATGTCTAATTTTGATAATAACATTAAGACCCAAGCCTGGTTAGCAATCACTAAAAAGAACCCAAATTCCCATCACTACTCCATAAGTCAGCACCTTTTAAGTGAACGATGGGAACCGCTTCCTACCTGACAGCAAATTTATTTTTATTTTTAATATTAATACAAGACAGAATAATTAGATGATCCTATAAATGTACTTTACTACTTTGTTAAATAGAATATAGAAATGTCTCTCTTTGGTAATACTATTACGACACAAAAATGTGTGTTGCAGCATTCACCAACATACAAAACATAGTTATATCTAAATAAAATATATCCGAGACATGGTTTAGTAGATTGAATAATTTAAGTGATATACATGCAAACATACCAATCATAAGTCAAAATATTTAAGAATTTGACTACAGGTTTAACTGGGATAGATTATAAAAGCCATAAGTGGTACTAAATGAAGAGCTGAGTCAAGTGATCTGGAATTCCCATCACTACTGAGTGGAGTGAAGTTCAGGGGTGTGTGTGTGTGTGTCAGAATCTCTTCACTGCCCTCCAGTGTCACAGTGAGGGACTGCAACACAATGCAGCGTACCACGGTGCCGCTCACTCAGACACATTTTTTGCCTTTAATTCTGAAGCACATATTACTAACTAATAATTGAATATATTAGTAACTGAAAAGACTACAAGTAATATGTGCTTCAGAATACACCCGTTGACGTCGGAAGAGGAAGAGCAGGGACTGGATTTAGTGCAGCAGTCACTGCGAACAAAAAGATCAAATCAAGACCATCTTCTGCTTTCTGGACGTGAACCACTACTTTACTGCAAAGGTCAGAAGATTAGAAAACGTACTTATTTTCTTGAAATGTGTGATGGTGACATATGTTGTACTGTCTGTCAAAAATATTAATAAAAAAAAAAAAAAGAAAACTTACTTATTTTATCACAATACATAATATTTCGTTCCCCTTTGAATGAGCAAAATACTACTTGCTCTTTTATTTCGAAAACTCCTAACCGGAAATGTGGTTTAGCTTCCTGCTGCTAACTTAACGTAGCTCTGTAAACATTGTTTTGACTGTTAAAATGAACGATGAAGAGGAGTCTTTGGTTTAACTTTCGCAGTGCTGCTTTAGTTTTATTCGGGTGTTTTACAGTTTACACTGTTTGGAATTTAAAAGGTAAAACAACTCATTTATCTGAAGTGTGTGAATTATTACTTTTCAACTAACTTACGCTCCATGTCATTCATAGCAATGTAGCTAGCTAACATAATACCTATGAGTCTTTACACATGATAACGTTACATAATGTTTAACATTGTAAATACCGGGAGATTGTAAAGTGCTGAGTGTCTGTTGGCAGGGAGGATGTCTGACCAGACGTTGGACTATTTCTTGAGTCGGATAAAGAAGAAGGACGCTGCAGAGGTGAGGTGGTCGCACGCTGTCAACAACCGGAGCCGGTTGTCGGAGGTCCTCTCAGGTACGTTGTTTACACCGAGTTCTTAGTGAAGGTGTCCGGTGTGCTCCGGTACTGTGGACGGTTGCGACTGAACCTCATTATGCTGTGAAGACATGCGGTTTCCTGCTTTCTTCAGTAAACAACACACGACTGTCCATATTAAACAGTGTAAACACAGGCCTTACCAAAAATACTTCTTATATAAAACCAAAAGTTGCCTGTGACCGTGCCAGTACCCGTACCCACTGTTGCAGTGCTCTGCCTGTGTGACATATTCCCAGTAAGTACCACCGTGCTCAAGGGCCTTCACACTGCGAGCTTGTGGAGTAGAACTGGAGCTATCAGTCAGTAGATCAGTAGTAAAAAGAAATGGTCGGCTGTTGTCCGATGTGAGGATTTGCTGCTTCTCTCTGTTTTAAATCTAAAATGTTTGGGTTAGTTAGACCAAACAACAAAATAAAACATTGTAAGACATCACCTTGGGCCCCAATGGACATGTTTTATTATCCTGACATTTTATAGACCAAGCAACTCATTGATTCATCAAGAAAGCGACTTGCAGATTAATCTGTAATGAAAATAATATATTATAATAAAAAGGTTTATCAGAGCTCAGTGGGATAGCTTGAGTAATGATGGTACATTAGATAGATACACCGTGCTAAAACACTCAATAGAAATGTGGTGCATAGAATTGTAGGCGTTTCTTTCTATGCTGCTGTACAATTCAACAGCCTCCAAAATAAGCATTAACCTCTCACCAAGGACCCCGTAGCTGAGAGAGATGGAGTAGGGACCCCCTAATACATATACTGTTTATATTAAACTGGGCTTGTATATTAAACTGGGCCTACAATAACGTGGACAATATATATGCTGGTTTAACTTAAATATGTTGGATTCATGTTGATATATTTTCAGGCATTTTCACAAAAAATAAAAAAATAAATCAAACCTCCTGCACTAACTTAGAGGACCCCTGTGGGTTTTGGAAACCCCTCTTAAGACCCAGGCATTAAAGGATAACACCAGCTACCTGGGCAACCTTTGATGGCCAAAACCAAGAAAATCAGACTCAAGTTGTCATAAACTAGAATTTAGCCTGAACTGAACAGACAGGACTGCAAGTTCATCAGTGATTACTTTAACTTTCATCCTTAGGTGCCACTCATATGATTGAGGCAGACATAATCATGAGAGGTTATGACCCCAAAGAGCCAATCATGGCCCATCCCCCTGACACAGACAGTGACATCACACTGAAGGAGTGGCTGGAAGGAGTGAAGGCGCACGATAAAGGAATAAAACTAGACTTTAAGAGGTGAGACCCAGCTCTTTTTTTTTTAAGTGATGGTGTGAGATGCCAACACTGACGTGTGCTTTCCATGCAGCCTGGAGGCGGTGTCTCCGTCTGTGGTGCTGCTGGAGGCGGTGCTGGCAGAGCAGAGTCGTCCCGTGTGGATCAATGCGGATATCCTCTCTGGTCCTGGGGGGCAGGCTAGACCTCTGGAGCCTCAGGCTTTCCTTTCTGCTGTGAGAACTCTACCCAGTCACACTGTGCTCTCTCTTGGGTGGACTACAGGATGGACCGCTGGGACAGATAACCCAGGTAAGGACACTAATGTCCTCCCTGTTTCACTGATCTTTTTACTTTTCTTTGTTTTTTACACCTCACATTACAGGGTGTCAGTTTCTTTTGTTCATAACATAAATATTCAGCAAAGTTTTTATTTCACACCTTTCATTACTTATGTTTCCCACATATATTGTGACGTTGATGTTAAAGGACGAGGCTGGTAAGGTTTTACATTTTGGTTTGTGGAACCTGTTGCTACTGTGTGCAGGAAGCTTTCTGATTGATTTCTTTTAATATGTTTCAGGTTACAGCTGGGATATGGTGCATGCGATGGAGGAGATTTGTAGAACCCTTAAACATCCAGTCACCTTCCCAGTGCGTGCAGCTCTCCTGCCCCAGTCATTCGCCCAACTCGCATGGCTGCTGAAGCAGTCAGACAGGTGATTATCAACACTGATTTCATCTCCGTTTTTAGTTCCACATGACTTATACTGTCATTGTGCTGTAAATGAAAATTATGGTTTATTTCAGCCTGCCGTGTTTCCCATAAACGCGGCTACTGTGGCTTTATGAGTCTTGCTAACTTAGCATTTGCCCATTGTTGCCCAGTGGCTGTGGAGACACTGACCACAAGCAGAATTACCAAGATTTGTAGAATCCAGGCAACTACCAGCAAATACCATTTATAACCTCTAGCCAGTGAGCTTTTTCTGTTGTCACAACAAGGTCATATTGTTTGAAATGCTTGCTTAATTTCATGCATCACTGACCACTACTTCGTTAGGCTAATACGACACACTGTCACTCTTCCTGCTTCCCAGTAGCATTATGCACTTGCGACACATGACATGCAGACAGAGATAAAGAGAGAATTTTTGTAATCCAGCCTGAGGCCGCAGAAAAACCAGCCTGAGTTCCATCAAAAAACAAAATGCTTCCTTTGTTCAATTATTGTAGCTAGCAAGCTAGAGTGAATAGTTATTTTCTGACTTTTACATTGGCATGTAATATGGTAATACCTTTTGAGCTGTTCGTTAAATGTGTATGCTTTCCCCTGTTGTTCACAGGTACACTTTAACAGTGTGGACCGGCCAGAGTGATGAGTTAACACTACAGGACTTACTGCCATACAGGCTAGAGTTTGATAGCAGTAAGATCTACTATGACTTGCCGGACTCTCTAAGGACCGAGCTCAGTATGACCTTGCGTGACAAGAACTGAACGTCCACTGCAGACACATTCTGACAGCAGTAACTCTGATGCCCACAGGTGAAGAGAGGAAAGTGGAATTTGCTCTACAAAACTTTTCCTGTTGTTCATCTGCCATTGACCAGAATCATGATACAGGGGTCATTTTTTAGGGGTCATGTGAGGATTAATCAAATAGAAGTGTAGCAAGTCTCTCTAAAACTGTGGGCTCCCCCAGCACACAATCTAGCATCACAGGTCAGTTACTCAACACAAATGTATTGCCTCCTCAGCCACACACACCATCAATACAAAATACTCAGCTTTACAGCTCTTCTGAGGTTTCTATAGTCCTGTTCCAAAGTCTGTGACGGTTCACTCCAGCCTTCCTTTCTGGTTTGTGTGTGCCAGCCAACTCTGGTCCACAACACTACTGCATTAAGAGGAGAGAGTGAATACTCAATGAGTACCAGCTGAGATCATCAACTCACCTGGTGCTGCTCTCATCATCCGTCCCCACACCTTTCTGTCTCCTGCAGTGGAGTGTAAACCACACCCACCTCCACAGAAAAGATGAAGAAAAAGTATTTCCACTGCACAAAGGATGCTTACATTTTATAACTTTTCTCTAATGGTTGCTTTTCCTTGTGAAGTGGCCTCTAAATTTGTTACAGTGACTATGTTTACATGCACAAAATATTCTGGTTTTAGCTCCTACTAAGGTCAGAGATATACTTGTGTATGATTGCTACTTTGCATAACGTGTTCTGTTGCACCCGTTATCACACCGCAGCAGTGATGGATATCCTGTATATGTATGAAAATGTATACTATGTATACTATTGATATTCAAGTGGTTCTTACTGTAGGACTTTTAAGACTGCCCCTTGTTTAGATCTAGAGGATATGACTGTATAAGGATAAAAGGAGAGGGTACCAAGACTATATAAGCGAGCCCATCTTTAGTAGAAGAGACTAGATTCCGTACTGTTCTGTTTCCTGGCTATAACAATCAAATCTTGAGTGTGCGTTTAGTGAAAAGGTAAACCACTAGTAGTCAGCAAAGAACAAGATTTTGAAATGTTGATCTTTGTACGTCAAATCTTAAAATGTAAAGTAACTAAAGCTGTGAAATAAATGTAATTGAGTGAAATTTTCTATCGCTGTTTTTGTTCATTCTTCTTTTCACGTGAAGCACTCTACCATACTGATGACAGAAATAGAAAGTTACTTTAGAATATTTTAAAAAACATTATAGTGACGTTAGACAGTGATGGGCAAATGAAGCTTTTGTGAAGCACTGAACCACTTGAGCCAATTGTTTCCAAAATGGCTTCATTACTCGAAGCTTCATTTCCAGTGACCTCTCCTGGCAAAGTGCAAGGCTGCAGTCAAATTAGGCAGGCTGGTTGGTGGACAGGAGGCTTTTAATTACATATAGGCATTCATGGGTGCACGCACGCACTCTCTCACACACACACACACTCTCTCTCTCTCTCACACACACACACACCTTAATGAGCAGTGTTGGAGAAACTGTAGAAAACACCTTTTGTTCTGAAGCATCTTTGCTTTGATCACCCTTGGATTTAAAGTATCTTTGCTTTGAAAATTCTTATCTATATCATGTTCTATTTACAAATAAAGATGATGAATGTGTGTATTGTGTTACTGAGGAGAGAATGCTGGGAAATATGGCATAGGTTGGGTATGCTTGTGTAACTATGGCAGGGGGATGGCGAACACTCAAAGGTTTTTATTATGGTACATCATTTATTCAACAGTTTTTGGGTTGAGCCGGTTTCTTTTCTTGCTCACAATTTCTTCACATTTGCGATTATAAAGTGTTAAAGGCGCTCAAATTTAAAACTGTCTCAACCTGTCACCAGAATCGCCTGATTGGACCGCGAACCAGTCAGGTGATTAATTCAGGCAATGAAGCGGTTGCTGCTTTGGACGGCCTATGTCACGTGATTTTTTTAGCACCAAAGCAAGCTTTGGAGCAGTGGTTTATGGAATTGTAGTTCAGGGTTTGAAGCACGTATCGAAGCTTCAGTGTCGCAGTGCCATCACTAACGTTAGAAGTTACATACGAGACTGTAAAGTATCTTTAGTTCACTGTGAAATTTAGAAATGACTAAAAAAGTTATAATTATACATGGCTTGAAAAGTATGACTTAGTCTGACAAATATATATTTTTATGTTTTAGTATTGTCAAGTACTGAATTCATGCTGAATAATATATCACATCTGGTGCTGCATTTAGGCATATTTGTATGCACACATTATGGGAATTAATAAAAATGAGACACAGACAGTTTCGTGGATTTGTGCCAGCAGCTGGCAGTAAATATTAGTTTGTCTGAAGGCTTAAATACACAAAAATACACAGGTTATACTACAATGAGGTTAAAGATATAAGTAGCTGAGACAGATGAGACAATCTTCATTATTTTTAATCTGCTTCAACTGTTCATTGTCTAATGGATTTTCACATACATGCAGCTAGAGGCCAAGAGTTATTTCAATTCAGAGTGGTGAACTGTCACAGTCCTTTCCTGAGAGCTGTAGTGATCACCATCATTGAGCAGATTACCTTGGTATTCTATGAAAACAAACAAAAAACAAATGTCCAAAGCAAACAAGTTTTCCCTGCCTGCCTCTGACCACATTTAACTTAAGTGACACATGTTGATACTAAGTCACTCAAATATTTGATATACGGTTTATTGAAAATAGACAGACATATAATACAGTGAAGAACACTGAAGGTTGAGTGTACCACTGAAGTGTTGCCAATGGCAACTCTGTACATAGTGAAAGGAGTATCTGAGAATGTCTTAAATTTTCAAGGATGCAGATGTACTGTTTGGCAATTTAGATAAAAGGGAAGAATAGTTTTCCTCACTGTGCAGCTTATGTTGATGAGTACCCTTTTATTCTAACTGATATGCAGTGCACTTAAAATTTAGATCATATACACGGCCATCTTTAATAACTGAAAACTATAATTAGGAAGATTAATTAAACACAACACTGTTAAAGATGCTGAAAAGGGGCTCAAAATATAATTCACACTTTTCTAGTCCAGAAATGGGTTTTAAACTAGTAGGTTAGAAGTGAATGTTTCTTAAGTGGTATTTCACCCTGCACTGTACTTTCTTTGATCCAAGGTCATTCTTAAAGCTTTCTGTAATGTCACAGCAAGTCTCAAACTTCTTTGGCTCACACTGTTGCTGTTAAATTAGGTCTGAGTCATGAAATTAAGTCCTGGTATTCAGCATATTGCTTAATGCCACTATAAATTGTAAAAGTATAGACTAAAATAATTATTTTTATTTGAACAACCATGCAACTCGAGCTTGAAGGTTCATTCTTGACCTCGTGAGCAGCAGTTTGACAAAAACATTCTCAACACAAGATCCCATTTGCGTGTCGCTTCCAAATCTTTTAACTACATCACATGGCCTTCCTCAGCAAATTGAGTTGCTCAGTTGTCATGGAGATGGTTTAGTTGTCAGAACATGACCTAAGTATGGATGATAACAGGCGGTCATATAGGGGATTATTGAAGGCCCTCCTACACCAAGCACTACATCTTATTATTGAGGAGGAGGATAGAGGGGGGAAGTATAGCATGTCTGAGGGTCTCTTAGAGCCAACAGGTACGAAGAGTGGATGATGAAAATCACACCCCAACCAGCAAGAAACAGACACCAGCTGTCTGTAAACACCTGACCAAAACCGCTCACAGCATCAAATGGATCAGGAACATCAGCCAGGAGTCAGGAAAAACAAGGAATGTCTTTGCTGGCTAAAAAAACAAGTTTACCATCTCTTCCCCATACACGACAACCTATTAATATGACCGGAATGCATAGGTGACATGATTAAAGCTAACTTATGACAACTAGCAACTCCATCCACTGAGGAGGGAACAACATGTTGAAAGCTTTGGAAACAACACGTTGGACCTTGTGTTAAGAACTTTTTTGTGCAATCATCTAGCTGTTCTGGAAAAGTGCTACAGTAATTTTAAAAGTTTTCTTAGGTAATTATTTCACACTAAAGTTACATTTTGTATTCTTTATATGTATTCTTTTGGTATGTTTCATTACATGGAGGTCAAACTGTCCCTTTGGCTGGTATGAAGATATGAGTCATGAGAAATCTAAAAACAGAACATCAATGCAGCCCCAGAATGTCTAAACTGTACTTTGTCTTAAAACTGCACATGAGCTGGTATCAGTGATGGTATGATAGGTATAGTACAGCAATGTATGTTACTGGTAAGAGCACATGCATTTTCTCCTGATACATGCAATATTTCCTTCTAGTGGCCAAAGGTTTCCTTGAAGTTAACCAGCTCTTTTATCTGCTCACTCTGCATTGAGTGTCGTCTCCACAGAATTTTCTTGGCTTTTAGATCCTTCAGAAGAACAGGTGCACAGGGTAGGATAGGCTTTGACCCTGTAAGAACACCATTCAGTGTCTTGCTACTTCCACTCAAAGGGTAGGAAGAGCTAGAGCTGACCCCAATATCTGGTATAGGAGCATGGGGATTCAGAGGAGGGAGGTATCCAGGACGAGTGTGGGCAATGTGATCCAGTAGAAGGGCCCCTGAGCCTCTTCGCTCCAGCCCGGCAGCACCTCGTCTCTGGACAGAGCTCTCCAAGGACTCCCTGGATCCTGACAGAGTGGAGGATCTGCTGTTGACCAGCTTGAGCCTTTCTGGTCCCGTTCCAACTCCACCACCATTCTTGGAGCTATTGTCTCGGTTGCCAAACTGTGGTAACTGAGAGTCAGAACTGTAGTGGTCAATACCAATGTTCCGTCGACGGACCACATTTTGCAGACTGGAAACATTCAGTTGTCTGAGACAGTCAGAGGAATCTTCATCTACAGGACAGGATTCATGAGGAAAGGGTAAACTGTCTTGATGCAAGTTTGGGTGTGAAGCAGCATGCAGTGAACTTGTAGTACTGTCATATGACATCTTTCTACCGAAGCCTCTTCTTCCACCTCCTCCCCTATTTTCATTTCCAGACATGTACTCTAGTGCCTTTCAGAAGCCCTGTTGTGTCTTTGACATCAATGCTGTGGTGGCGTGAAACAGCTGGAGGTCTTCCGTGGAAGGCGAGGCTATTGTTGACTCTGAAAGACAACTCCTCTTCAAGTGTAATTTGCACTGGCTCTTCTGTCAGAGAGGTGGCCTGGGTCTGCTGGAGGAGCAGTGAAGGACTTTTGGACCACTGCTCAGAGTGTAGCCTCTGGAGATTAAGTCGTTTATCCACACCAGGGACACGTAAAGGACTAGGATGTTGGATTGGAGAACCTGGTCGAGAGGTGACTAGACCAGGTCCTGAACCTAAACACTGGGGATCCCTGAGGCCAAGAAGGGGGCTACCAGGTTGGGGTGAAGCACTTGCTGAGGAGCCCTGTGGAGGAGTTCGTAGCTCATATGGTGACATGCAACAAGATGTTGGGGTATAATGCATACGTTCCTCAAGGTCTGGAGGTGGAGGGACATTGAGGTACTGCTTTGTCATCTGATGGCCGGATGGCAGTTTGTTGGTGGTGATGATGATAACCTCCTTACCCTTCGCTTTACAGGCATCCAGGAGGACCCTGAGGACATCCCTGTTGCCTGAATTGACAGCGTAAATCAATGCTGATAAGCCTGAATGATCCTCCAGAGTTGGATCAGCTCCACTGCTCAGCAGGAGTGACAGAATTTCAGCTCCAGCTTGTTCGAGGCATGCATGCATCAGAGCTGTTTTTCCTGTCTTGTCTTGGATGTTTGGATCAGCACCATTTTCCAGAAGATACCTGTTGGGAGAAATATCACATTTATTACACCAGGAAACTAGTAATCCTCAACAAAAACATATGCTGCCAAGAAGTATCCTGTTAGAACATACCGAACCATCTTGTGTTTGGGTACACTCTGTGAATCTGTATGGCGTGTCTTGCAGGCCACCATAAGCGGTGTCTCGCCATGTTCATTACTCTCATTTATGTAGGCCCCTCCCTCCAGGAGCAGCCGAGTCAGACGCAGACGACTCAAATAGACAGCCTTTAGAAGAGAATTGCCATCTGTTCGAACCTCTGTTGACTCATCCATTGTAAGGATCTTGGCTGCCTCTAATCCACCTTC